TCAGATGATCCACCCACTTTGGCCACCCAAAGTGCTGGGATTACAGGCATGAGCCAGCATACCTGGCCACAAATTACATCTTTTTATGTTGTATTACCCCTTTACATAGACTTAGTTTTTTTTAAATACTGTTGTCTTTTACTTTCTATGTAAGAATTAAAAATCAACTTATGTACCAAGATTATAATAATATAGGCTACTTACTATATTTGTCCATTTATTGGTCTTTAACACAGAATGTTATACTTTTATATGGCTTCATGTTGCTGTGTAGTATGCTTTCATTTCAATCTGAAGGACCCTCTTTAGTATTTTTTATAGGGCAGGTCTAATGGTTACTGAACTCCCACAACTATTGTTTATCTGAGAAAGTCTTAATCTCTCCTTTATCTTTGAAGGATAGTTATAGCTGGATATAGTACTCTTGGTTAACAGTTTTGGATTTTTTTGCACTCACAACTTTGAATGTATCATCCCACTGCATGCTGGCCTGCAAGGTTTCTGCTAAGAAATCTGCTGAAATTCTTAGAGAACTCCCTTGAACCTGACAAGTTGCTTTTCTCTTGTCAATTTCAAGCTTACCTTTGTATTTTACTTTTGACAATTTGATAATAATGTATCTTAGAGTGGGTGTCTTTGGAATTGTCCTCTCTGGAGTTCCTTGAGTTTCCTGAATTTGTATGCCCATTTCTTTCCTCAAGAAAAGGCAAGTTTGGGAAGTTTTAAGCCATTATTTCTACAAATAAGCTCCCTGTTATTTCTCCTTCTCTCTTCTCACTCTGAGACTTACATCATGCATATACTGGTTCGCTTGATCTCTTTGCTCCTCTGACATAATTTCATTATTTTGTTATAGCTTTTTGTAGACATGGGGTCTATGTTGACCAGGCTGGTCTTGAACACCTGGCTTCAAGTGATCCTCCTGCTTTGGCCTCCTAAAACACTGAGATTACAGGTGTAAGCCACTGTGCCCAGCCTCTAACTCAATTTTAGATTTATTTGTCTTCAAGTGTGTTGTTGTTTTCTTCTGCATAATCAAGTCTGCTCTTGACTTTTATAGTTCATATTATTGTACTCTTCAGCTCCAGAATTTTTATTTGGTTCTTTCTTATAATTTATATCTTCTAGTTTATATTGTAACTTTTTTCTTGCATCATTTTCCTGATTTTGCTTAGTTTTTTGCATTCTCAGTTTTTAAATTATCTGTCACAGTTTTTAAATCATCTATCACAAAGCTCGGGGTTCTGCATTTCTTTAGGGTCAGTTTCTGAAGCTTTGTTTTCGTTTTTGATTTGATCAATGTCCCTGTTCCTTTGTATGCCTTCTGATCCTTTTTGAATGGATATTTGACCATTTGAAAAAGTGAAAAACAAATAACTTTCTGAATCTTTACAACTGGCTTCATACAGGGAAACACTTTCATGAACCAGCCCAGCTAGAGGTTTTGGGACCACCCAAATTTTTCTGCGAGAAGTGCCTTCTGTGGGCTTGTATGTGTGTTTTTGACAGTCTTAATTTCCCTAGCAACTTATTGCTGTTTCTTCTCAGAAACCCATAATCTCTGTGTCCCTCTGACCTCTTCCAGCAGAAGTGCAGATCTCTTAAGATCTTACGTGCTGCAGCAATCATGTCTGTTTCCTGCAGCTTCCGAACTATGCTACCATTCCCTTCAACACTCTGAGTGAGATGAGATGTATACCAGTTCTGTGGGCAGACTTTGGATAGGCCAAAATATTGAACACATAGTCCATTACTTTGTTTCGGTCCCAAAGGAGAAGGTAGGGTATAGGAAATTTCCTCCTGGTTGCATTGCACTATACTAGGCGGGGAACACACATGCAAAATGCCACAAAATTTCCCACTCCTTTTGAAATAGTCCCTTCTTTTTAATGTTTTAGCTTGAGTGCTACAGCTTCTCAACTGGTCTCTACAATTCTCACAAACATGTCCTGGTCATTATATTCAAATTAGCTTGGTGTTTCCACCGAGGAATAAGGGCCTGAAACTTCCTACTCTAACATGTTGATGATGTGGGTCCTACAGCCAAATTTTACAATCATTACTTGTAACACATAGTACCTTCCACTCCAGGTTGTATTGAATTTTTCTATCTCAATTTCTTTGATAATATTCTACCCTTAAGTCACTGAATCACACAAGAAAATTAGTGTTATAAGGTATACCCAGTATATCAAATTTACTCCTCAGTGGCTTTATGTGTTTTTAAATATTAAATCCATCCTCAAATGATAATGAGTTGTAACTGTGATCAAATATAAAAAAAAAAATCTGTCAGAAGTTTCCAAAGGTAATTTCTGAAAAGATTATTTTGCTAAAATATTGTTATACTAGTATTCTGAGAATAAATATAATTCTTGCCCAAGTGGTTAGCAGAGTTCTATAACAACAACAAAAAAAGTGTTTTAAGATAAGGTTGCATTATTTAAAATTACAAATTTTACATCTTCCTAAAGAGATGTGAATACCTGCTTGTGATGGCCACAAGAAATTAATTTGTTAATTGGGTACTACTTATCCTTCTATTATCATATTTAAAAGATTACTTATATACCTTAAGACTGTTCTACCTTTATTAATACATAATAAGTTGAAAACAGTATTTGAATTGAAAGATCTAGGCTCAACAGAAACTGCAAATCCTGAACACATCAACAGACAACTTTTTATTTAGAGACGTTAAAATGAATCCTGAGAAATACATGTGCTGAATATTATTCTCGTATGTCATTAGACTAATATAAAAACACAGTATTACATGATCCTGATTTCATTTCTTTTCATCAGACAGGTCTCTCTCTGTTGCCCAGGCTGGAGTGCAATGGTGAAATCACAACTCACTGCAGCCTCAACTTCCCCAGGTTCAGGAGATCCTCCCACCTTAGCCTCCCAAGGAACTGGGACTACAGGTGTGCACCACCACACCTAGCTAATTTTGCATTTTTTGTAGAGATCGGGTGTCGCCATGTTGCCCAGGCTGATCTCAAACTCCTAGGCTCAAGCAATTCTCTCATTTCAACCTCTCAAAAGTGTGAGGATTACAGGTAAGAGCCATGTAATCCACCGTGCCCAGCCCTCATCTAGTTCTAACAAATAAAATTTCTCTGCAGAACTTTAATACTGCAGACTTCCTAATTAGCAGTTACTTCTAAAATAAGGCTGGATGTAGGGAAATAATTGATGTAGGTACTAAGAGACAAAATTGTAAACAAAGGTGTATTTGTGTCCTATTGCTGCCATAACAAGTATCACAAACTTAATATTTAAACAACACAAATTTAATATTTTACAATTCTGTAGGTTCAGAATTCTAATGTGGGTCTCAGCCAGTCAAAATCAAGGTATCTACAGAGCTGTGTTCCTTTCTGGAGGCTAAGGGAGGATCCATTTCCTTGCTCATTTAAGTTGCATGCAGAAACCAGTTTGCTGCAGTTAGAGCACTGAGATTTCTATGTCCTTAGCGACTGTCAGCTGAGGGTAATTTCCAGCTTCTAGAAGATATCTGATGGCTGGTGTGGTGGCTCACACCTGTAATCCCAGCATTTTGGGAGGCCAAGGCAGGCAGATCACGAGGTCAAGAGATCGAGACCATCCTGGCCAACATGGTGAAATCCCATCTCTACTAAAAATATAAAAATTAGCTGGCCATGGTGGCATGTGCCTGTAGTCCCAGCTACCTGGGAGGCTGAAGCAGGAGAATCACTTGAAGCCAGGAGGTGGAGGTTGCAGTAAGCCAAGATTGTACCACCGCACTCCAGCCTGGTGACAAAGTGAGACTCTGCCACAAAAAAAAAAAAAGATATCTGAATTCCATGTCTCATGGACCTCTTTCTCCATCTTCAAAGCCAGCAAGAGTGGGTTGAGTCTCTTATCTACTCTTTTGATTCCTTCAGGTTTAAAGAGTTTATATGATTATTGGGACCACTCACATAATCCTAGATAATCTCCCCATTTTAAGGTCATCTGATTAGCAAACTTCAATTCCCTTTTGCCACGTGCTATGGTTTGAATGTTTGTTCCCTCCAAAACTCATGTTGAAATTTAATTCCCAATAGGACAGTATTGGGAAGTGGGGCCTTTAAAAGGTGACAAGTTCCGGGCACAGTGGCTCTCACCTGTAACAATGACAATACTTTGGGAGGCCAAGGCAGAAGGACTGCTTGAAGCCAGAAGTTCAAGACCAGCCTGGGCAATGAAGCGAGGTCCGATCTCTTATTAAAATTTTTTCTTAAATTAGCTGGGCAAAGTGGTATATGCCTGTAGTCCCAACCTCTCAAAGGGCTGAGGCAGGAGGACTGCCTAAGGCTAGGAGTTTGGAGGCTGCAGTAAGCAATGACTGGCCACTGCACTCCAGCCTAGGTGACACAGGGAGATACCATTTCTAAAAGAAAACCTTTTCAAAAGAGGTGACTGGGTTATGGGGGATGTCCTCGGGAGAGGATTAATCCATCCATGGGTTAATGGATTATCATGGGAATTGGACAGGTGGCTTTATAAGAGGAAGAGAGACTGTCACTAGCATGCTCGGCCCTCTAGCCATGTGATATCCTGGCATCACCTCTGGACTCTGCAGGAGACCAGCAAGAAGGGCCTTATCAGAGGCAGCCCCTCAAATTTGTTTTTTATAAGTTTTTTTTTTTTTAAACAGAGTCTTGCTCTGTCACCCAGGCTGGAGTACAGTGGTGCAATCTCAGCTCACTGCAACCTCCACCTCCCAGATTCAAGCATTTCTCCTGTCTCGGCCTCCTGAGTTGCTGGGATTACAGGCACGTGCCATGACGCCCAGCTATTCTATTTTTAGTGAAGATGGCATTTCACCATGTTGGCCAGGCTGCTCTCGATCTCCTGACCTTAGGCGATCCACCTGCCTCAGCCTCCCAAAGTGCTGGGATTACAGGCATGATCCACCACGCCTGGCCCTGGCTTATCCTTTGTTCATCTTCATATATTCTGAGTCACTTATTACAAATTAAAAAACAAACCTTTACACACTTTTCCTGAATATCATTTTTCTGGGAAGCAAACTTGAGTTGTGGTTTTTTACCATCCATTCCAGATTCGTCATGTTTCACTTTGCTAAGATGATGATCCGCAATCCAGTCCATGAAGACAGTTAAAAGTTCATAAGCTTGCCCATTAAGTGGTACCTATATGTCAAAAATTAAATCATTTACTTCAGTTCACAACTTCATAAAACTTCAAAGACAAGCCTTAAATTCTGTAAATAAAGAATAATTTGACTAAAGTAATTCATTAAAATATGTTAAGAACAGAGCTTCTCCAAACAAAAGAAATTCCAAATCAAACCTCCCCAGCTGGTCAGGTGTAGCGGCTCACACCTGTAATCCCAACAATTTGGGAGGCTGAGGCAGGTGGATCACCTGAAGTCAGGAGTTCAAGACCAGCCTAACCAACATGGTGAAACCCTGTCTTTACTAAAAATACAAAAATTGGCTGGGCATGGTGGCACAGGCCTGTAATCCCAGCTACTAGAAGGCTGAGGCAGGAGAACAACTTGAACCCAGGAGGTGGAGGTTGCAGTGAGCTAAGATCATGCCACTGCATTCCAATCTGGGCAACAGAGCGAGACTCCACCTCAAAAAAAAAAAAAAAAAACAAAGAAAATCTCACTAACTAATATTAAAAACAATGTAAACAATAACTGAGAGAAGGCAAGAAAAGTAATCATAATTAGGAAGTTGAACTAACTGTACCTTATCACTAAAAGAAAACTTTTCATAAAAAATCTTTGACCAAGTTTGGTGAGATGGAAAAAAAAAAAAGTAAAATTAGTGGCTAGACCTGGTGGCTCATGCCTGTAATCCCAGCACTTTGAGAGGCCAAGGTAGGCGGAAAACCAGGTCAGGAGATTGACACCATCCTGGCCAACATGGTGAAATCGGTCTCTACTAAAATACAAAAAATTAGCTGGCATGGTGGTACACCCCTGCAGTCCCAGCTACTTGGGAGGCTGAGACAAGAGAATCGCTTGAATCTAGGAGGTGGAGACTGCAGTGAGCTGAGATTGCACCACTGCACTCCAGCTTGGTGACAGAGTGAAACTCAGTCTCTCAGTCTCAAAAAAAAAAAAAAAAAAAAAAAAGTAAAATTAGTCTTAACTCAAAAGCATGAACCACCACAATTAAAAGACCATAAAAAAAAATTAAAGGTTTCCAGAGCCAAAGAATTTCCACTATGCAACTTCGAATCTTTTTCTTCTCACAAAAATTGTTAGTCTTTGCAGTATAACGTTCAGTACACATGATATGAACATTTTTTTCCTAGCAATCTTGCTTGTCCTCTGAGAGCCTACCAAAATGAAAAGTAAAAGAAAAGAACAGGCCGGGCGCGGTGGCTCAAGCCTGTAATCCCAGCACTTTGGGAGGCCGAGGCGGGTGGATCACGAGGTCCAGAGATCGAGACCATCCTGGTCAACATGGTGAAACCCCGTCTCTACTAAAAATACAAAAAATTAGCTGGGCATGGTGGTGCGTGCCTGTAATCCCAGCTACTCAGGAGGCTGAGGCAGGAGAACTGTCTGAACCCAGGAGGTGGAGGTTGCGGTGAACCGAGATCGCGCCATTGCACTCCTGCCTGGGTAACAACGGCGAAACTCTGTCTCAAAAAAAAAAAAAAAGGACAAAGTACTTTATAAATTTAACTAGATTAATTTTAAGTATTATTACAAAATGCATTTCTAATTTAATTCAGTATTTTTCTTAATAAGATACCACTATAAATAGCCACCTTAAGCAGGGAACTATTTGGTGAAACCAAATCTCTACTAAAAATACAAAAATTAGCCAGGTGTGGTGGTGGGCACCTGTAATCCCAGCTACTCAGGAGGCTGAAGCAGGAGAACTGCTTGAACCCAGGAGGCGCAGGTTGCACTGAGACAAGATTGTGCCACTGCACTCCAGCCTGGTCAACAAGAGCAGGACTCCATCTCAAAAAAAAAAAAAAATCTGAAAGACAGACTAGGTGTGGTAGCTCGAGCCTATAATCCTAGCCCTCTGAGAGGCTGAGGCAGGAGGACTGCCAGATATTTAATATCAGCCTGGGCAACACAGCAAGACCGTGTCTCTACAAAAAATATGAAAGTTAGCTCAGTGTAATGGTGTATGCCTACAGTCTTAGCTACTTCAGAGGCTGAGGTGGGAGGATCATGTGAACCCAGGAATTCAAGGCTGCAGTGAGCTATCATCAAGCCACTGCCTTCCAGCCTGGGTGGCAGAGGCAGACTCTGTATCTAAAAAACAAAACAGGCAGGGCTTGGTGGCTCATGTCTGTAATCCCAGCACTTTGGGAGGTGGAGGCAGATAGATCACCTGAGGTCAGGAGTTTGAGACCAGCTTGGCCAACATGGTGAAACCCCATCTCTACTAAAAATACAAAACTTAGCCAGGCGTGGTGGTGGGCGCCTGTAATCCTATATCTTCAGGAGGCTTGAACCCAGGAGGCAGAGGTTGCCATGAGCCAAGATGGTGCCATGGCACTCCAGCCTGGGTGACACAGCAAGACTCCATCTCAAAAAAATAAAATTAAAAATAATAATTTTAAAAATAAAAAATTTAAAAGACTTCAAAGAGAGAAATATAAAAGCAAATTAATAAAAAGGCAACGTTAAGCAGATGGCAATCTACAAAATCAGAATCAGATGACTAAAGACAAAATGATAAATAGTAGCATTACCACATTATTCTGAAGAACAATTTTTCACTTTCTTAATTTTTTCAAATAGAAACTAACTCCCTTTCGATGAAAAATTATCTTAAGTTCCTGAATATAAAATCTTTACCTTTTCAATTTACTCCAATTTTCTCAATTTATAAAGAACTAGAAAATTTATCAAAATATCAAAATGATCAAAGCCCATAAGATACTACTACACATCCACTGGAAGGGTTAAAATGGACAAAACTGAGCCGGGCGCAGTGGCTCAAGCCTGTAATCCCAGCACTTTGGGAGGCCGAGGCGGGTGGATCACGAGGTCGAGAGATTGAGACCATCCTGGTCAACATGGTGAAACCCCGTCTCTACTAAAAATACAAAAAACTAGCTGGGCATGGTGGCGCGTGCCTGTAATTCCAGCTACTTAGGAGGCTGAGGCAGGAGAATTGCCTGAACCCGGGAGGCGGAGGTTGCGGTGAGCCAAGATCGCGCCGTTGCACTCCAGCCCGGGTAACAAGAGCGAAACTCTGTCTCAAAAAAAAAAAAAAAAAAAATGGACAAAACTGAAAACATGAAATGTTGAAAAGGCTGTGGAGGACCCAAAAGTTTGATATACTATTAATAGGAATATAAAACAGTGCAACCAATTTGGAAAACTGTCAGTTTCTTAAAAACATACATCTACCTTTATCTACCCTATGACCCAGAAATTATAGTCCTGGTATACCCAAAAGAAATGAAAACATATTCCATAAAAACCCTATACATCAATATTCATAGCAGCTTTAATCATTGCAGACAAAATTAGAAAAAGCCCAGATGTCTATCAACAGAAGAATGAACAAACTCTGATGCAGTCATACTATTGGGCAATAGTAAGGAACCAACTATTAATACACACTAATTATGCTGAGAAAAAGCCTTACACAAACAAGTACACACAAAACAATTCCACTGACAAAATGTCTCAAATAGGCAAAACTAACTTATGGTAATGTAAATCAGATCAACGGCTTCTGACTAGAAAAGGGCACTACAGAACTTTCTAGGATAGTGGAAATATTCTATATTTGGTTGTAGGCAACATGAAATATTTATCAGAATTAATCAAACTTTAAAGGATTTGTGCATTATGTTACCATATGTAATTTATACCTCAAATTTTAAAAATTCTTAGTAAAACAAAGATACATAGAAATCCATTCAGGGATGAATTGCAATCTTGACTGAAATATAACCAAATGCTTGTGGAGTGTCAAAACATATTAAGCAATAAAGACACTAATGGCGTGTCAATGATTGTACCTGAAACACTGCTACAATAGAATTTGTTTTTGCAAATGAAAGTATATTTTAAATATTCTTAAGGTATTTCCCTGTTAAAAAATTATGGTGAATCCTTTCCAGAGCAAACATTCCAAAAATAAAAAAATCAAAGAGAAAAGATTAAAGCATCAGATAAATCTTCCTGGCTTTCCATTGGAGAAATTTTCAATCACATCATACCTTGTAAGTTTTTGAAACTGGTGCTTTTTCTTGTTTTAAACTTTTCATTTCATGAACAGCATGGGAACTTCCTTTTAATCTCTGTATTGTCATAAATTCATACTTCCTCTGCAATAGCATATATGCATGAATTAAAGAAGAACTGTATCAAAATGAGTAAACTCAAAGGCAATCATTTAAATATATACTTGTGTCTCTAGAGAAGAACAGGCAACTTACCTGTAAATTATCTAAACGAGCTTGAACTCTTTTAGCCTGAATCTCCATCTTCCTGTTTTCTTCACTTGCTTCATTTAACTAAAGGGTAGAAAACGTTAGATATTTCAATATAAACCTTCAAGTGGTTTCATACTAAGGGTTTCTCAATCTACTATCTAATCTGGTCGATACTGCCAACCAATGTAACAAATAGAGACAGCATTCATGATTAAATTAGATCACAACTGAAGTCACCATTTTTCCCTAAAATATTAATGGTTTCTAAGATAATTTACTTCATTTTATGAAAAATGTGCAAGACTCCACATGTCTTAAAAACATATACGCATATTTTATAAAAATGAAATGTTTTTATTAAGTAAAGTTGCTATTTGAACTATAACATATATAAAGAAAAGTGTAAAATCCTAAGTATGCAATAGAATGAGCTATAACTCGGATCATATTACTGGGATTATGTGTGTATACGTGTCTGCGTATAGACTTACATGTATATATATGGAAGAACTGACATCTTTACAATATTGAGTCTTCCCTTCCATGAACATATCTTCAATTTATTTAGGTCTTATTTTCTTTTAATAATGTTTTCTAGTTTTCAGTAGAGATGTCTTGCACATCTCTCTTTAGATTTATTCCTGGGTATCCAATGATTTTTTAATGAAATTACTTATGGTACCTTACAATCAAATTTGTGATCCATATACACCATGAATAGAATACTATGTGGCCATAAAAAAGAATGAAAGCATGTCTTTTGCAGCAGCATGGACGGAGTTGGAGGTCATTAATCCTGAGAGAAATAACTTAGAAACAGAAAATTAAATATTCCATGTTGTCACTTATAAGTCAAAGATAAACAATACACATGGACATAAAGATGGAAATAACAGACACTGGGGACTCCAAAAGGGAAGGGGAGGATGGAGATGGGTTGAAAATTAACCTACTGGGTACAATGTTCACTATATGAATGAAGAGTACACTTTAGAAGCCCAGATCTCACTGTCACACAATATATCCATGTAACAAAGCTGCACATGTACCCTCTGAATCTAAAATAATTTTCCTAAAGAATGAAAAGTGGCTTTTTGAAAATATAAACCAATAAGCCATGAGCTAGACCTGTGAAATTCCAATATCTGGATCACTCCCAAGTATGCTTATATTCTCTGGGGTTTTTTTTTTTCACTTTTAATTATGCAATTCTGTCTTTTGATATGATTATTAATTTTGTATAGAATGAAAGACATATTTTCCTCTGCTAGGCATTTAAACCGAGGAGTAAGCACCTTAATCTGATCAGGAACTGAGCTTAATCAAGGCCAGGTTTCAGTCTGGGAAAGTTCTGTCTCCCTTTAATTCATCCACTCCCAAGGCACAACCCTGCTCCTTTCAACTGAGATCCTGGGGTATACACTGGGACTCTCTCCCCATGATGAGTCTTGAACATTAATCCTTGCCTCCTCAACTTAATGAGAAATGCTTTTAAGTTATTAGAAAAACGTATATCCAGTATTAGCATAAATTACTGTGTAAGTCAGTCCCAGAAATAACATACCTTTTTCTTCAGCAGTTTCAAAGTATATATCTTCATCTAGCCAGAAGTTGACTAAATCTGCCTATTGCTTGTTTTATAAATACAGTCATTTTGGAACACAGACATGCTCATTCACTTATTGCCTATGGCTGTTTTTGCGCTACGATGGCAGAGCTGGGTCAGTGAAAGAGAGACCATATGGCCTACAAAGCCCAAAATATTTACTACCTAATCCTTAATAGAAAAAGCGTGCTGACCTCTGATCTATTCTTAACAAAGAAATCGTAAAAAAAGCATTCTGCCATCCAAGCTACTTGGGAGGCTAAGTCAGGAGAATCGCTTGAACCTGGGAGGTGGAGGTTGTCATGAGCTGAGATCACACCATTGCACTCCAGCCTGGGCAACAAGAGTGAAATTCCATCTAACAACAACAAAAAAGCATTCTGCCAAATGTTTTCAGTTTGTACACACTAGTTCATAAATCCAATTATAAACAGGTCCAAATATTTAGTAATCCACATATCCACCCCAATTACCACATACTCATGCAACTATTTACAAAAATTATTAAAGATAACAGAAACCTAAGAGATAGTATCTAGGGCAACAGTGTACCTACGCTAGGAATTTTTAAAATTCTATCACAAGAGAGTGGTTGAATGATACTGTAATGAGAAAAAGTGATCTCTCCAGGAATAAGGCAGGATTCCAAACAGACAACGGGCCGTCAAATTCACAGTCCAAGAGTAAAAGGCCATAAATGAATTAAGGAAAGCCAAAGTATTAGATCAAGTGAGAAACAGGGTATCTATGTATCACTGACAAAGAGGAGGATCAAAACAAGTAGAGATTAAAGGGAAATAAAGGCAGAAACAGCAAAGGACAGACAGCTGGCAAAGGAACTGTGAGAGAGTCTGAGGCTCAAGTTACATTTTAGAACTCATAAAGATTCCCAGTCCAATGCTTTCATTTTCAAAGTAACTGAGTTTACTCCAATTTCTGCTATAACATCTACTCCCCACACAATCTAATACATACATAATAATTCTCCTGTCTCTCTTTACTATACTTCTTTACTTTCACATTTTTCAGCCAAAAACTGGCAGAGGAAAGAACAAAAACAGACATAACTCACAAAATATTTATGTTATGCAATTTTGGTATTATGTATTAACCTAAATTATAATACTTATATAAACAATTATACAGCAATGTGATGCCAGTTTATAACGACAAGAACACAAGGAATGTGAAGGCCTGTGTCTAGCACAGTGCCTAGGATACAGTAGATATTTGAAAATAAATGAATGTTAAATAAGCTATGATATGTAACAGTAGTTAAAATAATAAGAAGAAAAGCCAGAGATCAGTACCTAAAAATGTAATTAGTTCTCAGGTTATAAGGCTTTTTCTTTTGCTTGTCTTTTTTCCCTTTGCTTGTCAGCTGGTTGCCAGAACAAATAAAGATAAGAAACCAAAGAGCTTAAGAATGTTTTATTTATATTTGGAAGTATTTTAAAATAAAGGTAACAAATGTAATCTAAATTTTCTCTAGCTGAAATATGTTCTAAGGCTGACTTTAATTTGTTATATAGAAATTAATTTGTTATATACATTTTAGTCTTATTCTTTTGTTATATATATTTTATAAAAATATAAATGTGCTATATATGTAACATATAAACATATTATAAATATAACATATGAACATACCGTAATATATGTTATAAACATATATAAATATATATTTTAATATAACAAATATATAAATTTGTTTTAATATATAACAATTCTTAGAATGTCTTATATCCAGTACAGATTAAAACAGGTCTTACCTGCTTTTTTAAGGTATCATTCAATTCTTTCAATGCATCAAAAGAGGACCTCAGTCTCTTCGTTTCTCTATTCTTTTCCTTAAGAACTTCAGTTAAGTGTTCAACTTCTGCATCATGTTGCTAGGGGGAAAAAAACACTCTGACCTAAAACCTGTAAGGCTTGTATATCACTACCACTGTGAAACATGAATTAATTACAAATAAGAACTACTTCAATCACAAAAACTTTAATCACTGAATTTAAGCACAACTGACTAGGGTGGCAAATAATTTATAAAAACCATGCAATCTACCAAAATAACAACAAAACATCAAAAGCATTTACAACATACTTATTAAAACATATTAGCATTAACAAAGTAGCAATGAGTCTATTTTCTGCTTCTGCTCAGAAAAACCCACTCACACAAACTCATGGAATATTTTGTTTGACATCATGGAATAATAAAACAATGAAGAATTTCTGACACTTTTCAAGAGATGAGTAAACTATTTATGGCTTTATAAAGTGTATAATTTACATTATCCTTGAGAAGTAAATCTTTTATAAAACCAACTGACTTCCTAACATCATGAAGTAGATAAAATTTCTGATGCCTGCTTTTCACCTCAAAACATGTTAAATACATAATAAAATTTCTGAGCCCCAAACCATTTGACTCTTCTTAATCAGTTCTGCAAATAATTCAAATCAACTTCCCCCAATTACATTTAAATGGGATAGCATGTTTTAGATTTAAAATGCGATTACTTATAGTTTCACATTTCACTCTCAACTTACTCATAAAGTTTTAAAACAAGTCTCTATAGGAAATCAAAAAATTGAATTAATTTCCTTCTTCCAACTAATGATATAGATACAATGAAAATAAGATAATTATCTTTATACTTAATAAAAATAGTAGACACACAAATCTAAAGAGAGAGAATCAAGAATAAGATTGAAATGGAGAGATGAGAGAATCTAAGCATTCTTTAGCCCTGTGAAAAAAAAATCCAATATTCTAAAGAGTTAATCTTTGAATGATTTTATTACTATATTAAATAATTCCTTAAATAACTTAGGATACAGTCACAAAGACAGTTATTTTTAAAACTAATATAATATTTTCATTGTCCAACTTTTTCCATATCTAAAACGTATTAAAAACACAGGCATTCCATTTCTAGCACAGACCGATAAGCTCAATAAACTCTTCTGCCACTGAATGCAGCTAAAAGGCCTAAATAAAACATAAAACAACTACCTGACAACTGTGAAGAGAAAAAAGGGGAGGACATTGTGCTGGGAGAGAAAACTTGGAGAAGCAACCCTCAAGGGTAAAGCTTCCTCATTCTTGTTTTTTGTCTTCGCTCAACATTTTGCCCCAGGGTGGTTCCCAGGCATGGAGAAGCAGAACAAAAACTTCAACTCGCTGGGCACAGTGGTGCACATCTGCAGTCCCAGCCACTCAAGAGGCTGAGGGAGGAAGAGACTTGAGGGTATGGTGAGCTATGATGACGTCTGTGAATAGCCACTGCACTCCAGCCTGGGTAACACAGCAAGACTCCATCTCTAAAATTTTTTAAATATTTTTTTTTTTATTTTCACTAAAGCTCTAAAAAAAATTTCACTAAAAACTAAAAGAATATCAGTCTTTCTGGCAGAAAAATCAGAAAGAAGGACCCACAGGACAGACAAAAAGCAGTAGAGCCAATGCTTGCAAAAGGGAGCTCAGTTTAAAAATATTACCTAAGTCCTGGCTAACACTTCAATGCCTCTTTACCTGCACAAAAAAGACCCAGAGCAGCACAGCAAAGCTCTGAGAAATGCATCAGGATTTTAAACTGTTACCCAAGTTTCACACTAACCTTTAAGAGGCACAGGCACAATACAACTCCACAGCAACACTGCAAAGGCTTTGAAAGCTTAGCTGAGATAAGAACCGCTGCCTAGAGGAGGTGAGAAAAAAACGGAGGCCTGGCCAGGCAAGGTGGCTCACACCTATGATCCCAGTACTTTGGGAGGCCAGGGCAGGTGGATTGTTTGAGGTCAGGAGTTCAAGACCAGCCTGACCAACATGGTGAAACTCTGTCTCTATTAAGAACACAAAAATGAGCTGAGCATGGTGGTGGGCACCTGTAATCCCAGCTACTCAGGAGGCTGAGGCAGAAGAATTGCTTGAAGCCAGGAGGCGGACACTGCAGTGAGCTGAGATTGCACCACTGCACTCCAGCCTGGGTGACAAAGAGAGACCATCTGAAAAAACAAAACAAAACAAAAAACTGGGGCCTAAATCTAACTGGGCTGAACGCTTTAAAATCAACAACATTCTCCAGAGGGCAACAATAGAACCCAAAACCGAAACATGATAACCAGAAGGTCTTGAGTATACCATAAAAATCACTGAACATAAAACAAACCAAAGAAAGTAAACCTCAAAAAAACCAGATAATTAACAGATCCCAATCTTGAGATGACACAGATGAATGTTTTAAACTATGCTCCATGAGGTAAAAGTAAATATACATAAATGTAAACACAAAGACAGAAATGCTTATGAGAAAAACAAACAAATTTTTAAAAGAACTTGAAATTTTAGAATTTTTAAGTATCAGAAATGAAAATTTCACCAGATGGGCTCAATAACAACATGAAGATTAAAAAAGAAATAATGAACTTTAAGATGAATCAAGAAACTATCTGAAGAATACCAAGAAAATAATGGGAAAAAAGGAACAGAGCCTCAGAAATCTGTGGGCAAAGAGCACAAGGAGTCACTGGAGATCCAGGAGGGAAGAAAAAAGAAAGTGGAAAAAACATTGGTGAAATATTGGCTGAAGAGTCCCCAAATTTGTCAAAATACAGAAATGTCTGAATTCAAGAAGCTCAGTTAACCACAAACAGAATAAACTGAAGGAAAAGTATGTCAAGAAACACTGTAAATAAAATGCTGCTGAAAACCAAAGATAAAGAAAAAAATCATAAAATGATGCTATTAACGTGACATTCTGGAAAAGACAGATGTACCAGGACAGAAAATAGGTCCGTGGTTGCCAAGCGCTGAGGCTGGAGGAAAGGGATAGCTACAAGAGAAGCGTAAGGGAACTGGCTTTATCTTGACAATGGTTGTGATTATAAAACTATGCATTTTTCAAAACTCACAGAAATGTACAACCGGCAATGAATTGTACTCCAGAAAAGTTATACATACAGTAATGTATGTCTTGGTATGAATGAAGCAAGGTATATTATACCATCTATATAATATCCTTGCCAAAAATATTTTATCTGCATATTATCATTAGGAAGCAATCAGGTAAATCCACAATGTGAAATTTAAGACTGCTAGCCTGAATTCTACAGAGAAAAATCTCACAAAAAAACAAAAATGGTGAGGTTGAGTGCTCTAGATTCAAAGAAACCAAAAAAATATAAAACCAAATATAATGCATAAATCTTGTCTAGTTCCTTGATCAATCAAACAAACAAACAAAACCCCAAAAACAATAAAAGACATATTGAAGGCCAACCGAGAAAGTATACAGACTATAAATAAGTTATTGAGTTAGCATTAATTTCCTTATATGCTAATGGTCTGGAGAATGTCTTTATTCTTAGGAGATACATACTGAGGTATTTAGGGACACAGCCATGATTTTTAAGAACTGCTTTCAAACAGTTCAGAAAAAAAGAATGTGTGTGCGTGTGTGTGCGTGTGTGTGCGCGTGCGTGTGTGCATGTGTGCGTGCATGTGTGTGTGCGTGTGTGCGTGCGTGCGTGCGTGCGTGCCTATGTGTGGGTGTGGAAAAGAGGAGGAAGGAGAAATAAGCAAATGTGGCAAATATTAATAACTAGTGAATAGAAGAAAAGAAGAAATACACCACTCTAAAATCAAAAGCTATATAGTTACCTCTTTTATAATTTGAAATCTTGTTAGAACCTCTTCTTCGACACCTTTAATTTTACTCAAGGCATTTTCATGTCTGAAAAGCAGTTGTTCTCTTTCAAGTAAAAAATGTTCTCGCTTTTGAAGTTCCTCAGCAAATTTCTGTTGTGCTGCAGTTTCACACTGTATCAAAATGTCAGATTGTAATGCTCTTAAAAAGTCACAAATTCTGCAAATTATATTCCTATTGGCTGACGCTGTGGTTTAACCAAGCGGTTTTCAGGAATATGGGAGTAACTAAGGACCACCTGGATTACAGTATCCAGACTAGTATGCCAAGTAAACTTGTATAGAAATTCTATCTTGATATAAAAGAATGTGACACTAAGAGTCCACTGTGATGATGCAAGAGAATTTGGGGTCCAAAATGGATCAATGTGGGAATTCACTCAGGGTGGTGGCAAAAATATTAAGAAAAAAATAGTAGAGAAAGTTATAGAATATAGTCTCAAACCCTTTTGGAAGGCCTAAGTGTTTTTTCATAGTTTCAATGGAAGTTTCAGCTGAAAGCAGCCTAAACCCCTTTACGTTTACTTAATAAGAAAAGCAAAGAGCTAAGGTATATGGGGGAGTTTATCTGAATAATTCATTTATTCATGTGGGCTTAAAACTAAACTTTGAGCCAGATGGCCCTCTCGGGGGGAGGCTGACCAGGGGTATTACCCACTAATGGTGTTTGCTTTGGGCACTGGAACCTGTCCTTTAATCTCACTCCGGGTTGACTCAAGCCATTGTTAATTAAACTTTACTAAATAAATGTGAGTCTCATAGGCTGGTGGGGCCAGTGGCTACTATCTCTTTATAGTACTCTCCAGGGAGTCTGTAAGAAGCCACAGAACCTCAGCCGGACTGGCAAAGCATAATATCTGTGTGTCAGTGTACTTTATTCATCCGTCGCTGAGTCCTACAAACTCCCACAGGTAGTAACCCCAACAGATCCGTACTGAACAGATTTAGTTCACAATCCCGCTTCAATTCCATGCTCCGCTTCCACGTCATACTCTACTATTTTTCCTATATCCTCCACTCCCTTACCTTGTTGTTTATCACCTTGGGCTGAAAGACCAAGGCCTGGATAAGCACTGACCACCTTTCCTGGCCCCATGCTACTCAGCTCAGCACCACTGCGTGCTGAGGTCGGGGAGGGGGGTATCACATACTGTGAAAAGTGGCCCCTTTTTGAATTCATGGTCTCAGTCCTGTACTAGATTCTTAATGTAATCCAAAAATCTTTTTATATGTTCACAGTCAGCACTCCAATCCTCATTCTCTAAAGTGTCTATTTTGAGCTTTCCCCATTTTATTAATTTGCAATACATCATGTCCTATATGCCACTCTCTGTAAATAGTCTGGTCTCTAAATTCACAGAAAAAAAAAAAAAAAAAAGAAAAAAAAAAAAAAAACAAAAACAAAACACCAGAAAACAGCAAAAGAAAACATCAATCTCTTGGTCATAAAATACATATACACATGCTTCTCCTTCCCTCTCATTAAAAAGGTAGGCTCAGGATAACACTGCCTTAAGCCATCCTGTGAAGACTGAGGATTATCCCTTTAATTATTTTCTTTCTTTCTTTTTTTTTTTTTTTTTGAGACAGAGTCTCACTCTGCCCCCAGGCTGGAGCACCATGGTGCAATCTCAGCTCACTGCAACCTCCCCACCTCCCGAGTTCAAGAGATTCTCCTACCTCAGCCTCCTGAGTAGTTGGGGTTACAGGCATGTGCCACCATGCCCACCTAATTTTTTTGTATTTTTAGTAGAGACAGGGTTTCACCATGTTAGCCAGGATGGTGTCAATCTCCTGACCTCGTGATCTGCCCACCTTGGCCTCCCAAAGTGTTGGGATTACAGGCATAAGCCACCACAACTGGCCCCCTCTATTATTTTCAATCTCTCCCACCTCATCTGAACTAAAATCTTTCTTGGCCCCACACACTCACCTCTTCTCCTTTACAACCATCTACCTTTGCTGAGATCTCTTATTTCAGAATCATTCATCAACTCACTTAAGACTGGCTTCAGTCCACATTCCTCTATTGAAATGACTTACCTATTGCTAAATTTAAAGGTCACTTTTCAGTTCTTATTTTGAGTCTCTCAACAGCATTTTATGCTATGGTCCCTCCAACTTAAAATACTCTCCTTCACTGGTTTCCATGCCACCATTTTTCTAGTTTCCACTGCTATCTCTGGCCATGGCTTCTGAGGCTCCTTTGCAGGCTCTGATTCCTCTACTGTCATTTAATTTGTCATTTAATTACTAATATTCCTCAGGATTTGGTCTTGAGCCATTTTCCTTCTCATTACTCATACTCGTGTGTGTGTGTGTGTGTGTGTGAATATATGTATATTTTAAGTTCTGAGATACATGTGCAGAATGTGCAGGTTTGTTACATAGGTATACATGTGCTGTGATGGTTTGCTGCACCCATCAACCTGTCATCTATATTAGGTATTTCTCCTAATGCTATCCCTCCCTTAACCCTCCATCCACCAATAGGCCCCAGTGTGTGATGCTCCCCTCCCTGTGTCCATGTGTTCTCACTGTTCGATTCCCAGTTATGAGTGAGAATATGCAGTGTTCGGTTTTCTGTTGTCATGTTAGTTTGCTGAGAATGATGGTTTCCAGCTTCATCCATGTCCCTGAAAAGGACATGAACTCATCCTTTTTTATGGCTGCATAGTATTCCATTGTGTATATGTGCCACATTTTCTTTATCCAGTCTATCATTGACTGGCATTTGGGCTGGTTCCCAGTCTTTGCTATTGTGAACAATGCTGCAATAAACATATGTATGCATGTGTCTTTACAGGAGAATGATTTATAATCCTTTGGATATATACCCAGTAATGAGACTGCTGGGTCAAATGGTATTTCTGGTTCTAGATCCTTGAGGAATCACCACACTGTCTTCCACAATGGTTGAACTAATTTACACTCCCAACAGTGTAAAAGAGTTCCTGTTTCTCCACATCCTCTCCAACATCTGTTGTTCCCTGACTTTTTAATGATCACCTTTCTAACTGGTGTGAGACAGTATCTTACTGTGGCTTTGATTTGCATTTCTCTAATGACCAGTGATGATGAGCTTTTTTTCATGTTTGTTGGCCACATAAATGTCTTCTTTTGAGAAAAGTCTGTTCATATCCTTTGCCCACTTTGTGATGTGGTTGGTTTTTTTTCTTGTATATTTGCTTAAGTTCTTTGCAGACTCTGGATATTAGCCCTTTGTCGGATGGATAGATTCCATTCTGTAGGTTGCCTGTTCACTCTGATGATAGTTACTTTTGCTGTGCAGAAGCTCCTAGTTTAATTAGGTCCCATTTGTCAATTTTGGCTTTTGTTGCCATTGCATTTGGTGTTTTAGTCATGCAGTCTTTGCCAATGCCTATATCCTGAATGGTATTGCCTAGGTCTATCACAGATCAGATGGTTGTAGATGTGTGGTATTATTTCCGAGGCCTCTGTTCTGTTCCATTGGTCTATATGTTTTGGTACCAGTACCATGCTGTTTTGGTTACTGTAGCCTTGTAGTATAGTTTGAAGTTAGGTAGTGTGATGAATCCAGCTTTGTTCTTTTTGCTTAGGATTGTCTTGGCTATAAAGGCTTTTTGTTTCCATATGAAATTTAAAATCGTTTTTTCTAATTCTGTGAAGAAAGTCAATGGTAGCTTGATGGGGATAACACTGAATCTATACATTACTTTGGGAAGTATGGTCACTTCCACAATATTGATTCTACCTAACCATGAGCATGCAATGTTTTTCCATCTGTTTGTGTCCTCTCTTATTTCCTTGAGCAGTGGTTTGTAGTTCCTGAAGAGGTCCTTCACATCCCTTGTAAGTTGTATTCCTAGGTATTATATTCTGTTTGTAGCAACTGTGAATGGGGGTTCCCTCATGATTTGGCTCTCTGTTTGTCTTTTATTGGTATACAGGAATGCTTGTGATTATTCCATAATGATTTTTGTATCCTGCCACTTAGCTGAAGTTACTTATCAGCTTAAGAAGATTTGGGGCTGAGACAATGATGAGCTTTTCTAAATATACAATCATATCATCTGCAAACAGAAATAAGTAGACTTCCTCTTTTCCTATTTGAATACCCTTTATTTATTTCTCTTGCCTGATTGCCCTGGCCAGAACTTCCAATACGATGTTGAATAGGAGTGGTGAGAGAGGGCATCCTTGTTTTGTGCCGTTATCAAAGGGAATGCTTCCAGTTTTTGCTCATTCAGTTACTGGTTGTGGGTTTGTCAAAAATAGCTCTTATTATTTTTAGATAGGTCCCATCAATATCTGGTTTATTGAGAGTTTTTAGCATGAAGGTGTGTTGAATTTTATTGAAGGCCTTTTCTGCATCTACTAAGATAATCATGTGGTTTTGTAATTGTTTATGTGATAGATTACGTTTACTGATTTGCATATGTTGAACCAGCCTTGCATTCCAGGGATGAAGCCGACTTGATTATGACGGATAAGATTTTTGATGTGCTGCTAGATTCAGTCTGGCAGTAGTTTATTGAGGATTTTCACATTGATGTTGATCAGGGAGACTGGTCTGAAATTTTTCTTTTTTAGTTGTGTCTCTGCCAGGTTTGGTATCAGGATGATGTTGGCCTCATAAAATGAGTTAGGAAAGAGTCCCTCTTTTTGTATCATTTGGAACAGTTTCAAAAGAAATGGTACCAGCTCCTTTTTGTACTCTGGCAGAATTCAGCTGTGAATCCGTCTGGTCCTGGGCTTTTTTTGGTTGGCAGCCTATTAATTACTGCCTCAATTTCAGAACTTGTTATTGGTCTATTCAGGGATTCGACTTCTTCCTGATTTAGTCTTGGGAGGGTGTTATGTGTCCAGGAATTTATCCATTTCTTCTAGATTTTCTAGTTTTTTTGTGTAGAGGTGTTTAGCATATTCTTTGATGGTAGTTTGTATCTCTGTGGGATCAGCAGTGACATCCCCTTTATCATTTTTTATTGTGTCTATTTGAGTCTTCTCTTTTTCATTCTTCATCAGTTTGGCTAGCAGTCTATTTTGTTGATCTTTTAAAAAAAATCCGCTCCTGGATTCACTGATTTTTTTTTTTTTTTTTTGAAGGGTCTTTCATGTCCCTAACTCCTTCAGTTCTGCTCTGATCTTAGTTGTTTCTTGTCTTCTGCTAGCTTTTGAATTTGTTTGCTATTGCTTCTCTAGTTCTTTTGTGATGTTACAGTGTCAATTTTAGATCTTTTCTGCTTTTTCTTGTGGGCATTTAGTGCTATAAATTTCCCTCAAAACACTGCTTTGGCTGTGTCCCAGAGATTCTGGTATGTTGTGTCTTTATTCTCATTGGTTTCAAATAACTTATTTATTTCTGACTTAATTTCATTATTTACCCACTAGTCATTCAGGTGCAGGTTGTTCCAGTTACCACGTGGTTGTGCAGTTTTGGGTGAGTTTCTTAATCCTGAGTTCTAATTTGATTGCACTGTGGTCTGAATGACTGCTTGTTATGATTTCTATTCTTTTACATCTGCTGAGGAGTGTTTTACTTCCAATTATGTGGTCAATTTTAGAATAAGTGCAATGTGGTACTGAGAAGAATGTATATTCTATCAATTTTGGGTAGAGAATTCTGTAGATGTCTATTAGGTCTGCTTGGTCCAGAGCTGAGGTCAAGTTCTCAATATCCTTGTTAATTTTTTGTCTTGTTGATCTGTTTAATATTGATAATGGGGTGTTAAAGTCTCCCACTATTATTGTGTGGGAGTGTAAGTCTCTTTGTAGGTCTCTAAGAACTTGCTCTTTGAATCTAGGTGCTCCTGTACTGGGTGCATATATATTTAGGATAGTTAGCCCTTCTTATTGCATTGATCCCTTTATTATTATGTAATATCCTTCTTTGTCTCTTTACATCTTTGTTGGTTTTATCAGAGACTAGGATTGCAACCCCTGCAAATGGCCACCCAGCTTTGTGCTTGAAATCCAGGGCCCTGGTGGTGTAGATACTGGAGGGAATCTCCTGGTCTTCAAGTTGCAATGACTGCGGGAAAAGTGAAGTATCTGGGCCAGAATGCACCGTCCATCAGAGCAAAATCCCTCAGGGCTTCCCTTGGCTAGGGAAGGGAGTTCCCCAACCCCTTGCACTTCCCGGTGAGGCAGCACCCCACCCTGCTTCTGTTTGCCCTCAGTATGCTGCACCCACTATCTAACCAGTCCCAATGAGAAGAGTCAGTTACCTCAGTTGGAAATGCAAAAATCACCTGTCTTCTGCATTGATCTCACTGGGAGCTGCAGACCAGAGCTGTTCCTATTCAGCCATGAATAGGAATGGCTCATTTCTTATACATTTTTTGCTTAATTATATCCACTCAATGGCTAAAATTACAAAGTATATGCTAATTGTTCCCAACCTACAACTGTTCAAATCTTTCTCACAGGCTCCAAGGTCAAGTCCAAACAGCCTACTTAACATCCCCACCAAGGTGAGGGGGATATCTGTTACCTCAAACATTTATTCTTTCTTTGCGTTGTAAACATTACAAATCTTCTTTTCTAGCTACTTTAAAATATACGATAAATAATCATTAACTATAATTTCTCTATTGTACTAGTAAATACTGAAATTTACTCCTATCTAACTGTATTTTTAAACCCATTAGCTAACCTCTCTTCACCGCTGCTACCCTTGCCCTCCCAGCCTCTGGTAACCACTATTCCATCTCTTTTTCCATGAGATCCACTTCTTTAGTTCCCACCCCACACACTGAGTGAGAACATGCAATGTCTATCCTTCTGTGCCTGGCTTATTTTTCTTAATATAATGACCTCCATTTCTATCTATGCTGCTATAAACAATAGGATTTAATTCTTTTTATGGCTGGATAATATTCCATTGTGTATAGATATCACATTTTATCTGCCAATGGACACTTAGATTGATTCCATATTTTGGTTATTATGAATGGAGCTGCAATGAACATGGGAGTTACAGATATCTTTTCGATACATTGTTTTCTTTTTTGGGAGTATATGCCTAGCAGTGGGATTGCTAGATCTTATGGTAGTACCATTTATAATTTAAGGAACCTCCATAGTGGCTGTACTTAACAAAGTAAATTTTAAAGTCAGATTAAACTACAGACTGATTAAACCAGTTAATCCATTGTACTTTAATTTTTCTTATTAAATATATCTTTATCGTGTTTACTACAAATGGCAGATACATCATTGCAATCTTGCCTATTCTTTTTTATATTATAAAGTGTTATCAAAGGAATGTTCCTAAAACCTCACTTTTTACTCTGCCATTCCTTTTGCTTAAAAACTTGTAAAATACCCAGCCTCAGTTTTCATTATTTTCTTTCCTCCAGCCAGGCTAATAAATGCACAATTAGACAATCACTGCTTTTCAGAACACCTCTCACTTCTAATTCCTTATATTTGGAATGCCCTTCCCAATACTCTTTTTCTCAGTCAAAGACCAGGTTAAGTCTCTCCTTAACCTTTTCCTGGTGACTTTAGGCTAAAATAATCTTTTTCTAAAATACTATGGTAATTACAATCTGAATTATTTTGACAAAATGAGACATTGGTTTTAAAGAAATGCTTAACTATTTCATGTGTTTCCAATGGGAAGAATTTCGAACAGATACTGTGCATTACATACACTTCTGCTTCCTTCTTTACTTCTATGGACGTTTAATATATAGATTACACTCTTTTGGCCAGGTGAGAAGGCTCATGCCTGTAATCCCAGCACTTTGGCAGGCCAAGGCAGACAGATCACCTGAGGTCAGGAGTTCAAGACCAGCCTGGCCAACATGGTAAAACCCCGTCTCTACTAAAAGTACAAAAAATTAGCTGGGTGTGGTGGTGTGCACCTGTAATCCCAGTTATTCCCTAGGCTACGGCAGGAGAATCACTGGAACCCAGGAGGTGGAGGCTACAGTGAGCCAAGATCACACCACTGCACTCCAGCCTGGGCAACAGTGCAAGATTCCACTGCAAAAAAAAAAAAAAAATTACTTTAGAAACAAAAAACACCAAAGGCAGATAATAAGCCAATGTTAACAGTTCAATTTTGATGAGAGTTGACAAGAGGACTCTTTATATACATATATTTAAAACAAAGCTAGAGCAACTACTTCTAAAAGCATACTTTATCAGATTTTATTGTTCAAGGATAAGATAGGAATCAACATAAAATATAAGACAGTCTGAAACACACACCTACAAATAAAAATGCCACAGTCTCTATTTTCTCTCAGCCACAACATATATTTCCCTTCAATAGTCCCTATAATTTGAGTTTGTCCCCTTCTGTCCTTGTCTTGACTCACTTACCTAAAGTAATTAAAATGAAATACATTATATTCAAATTTTGTAAATGTTTGGTTCTTAGAACATAAATATTTCTGAATTCTCAATTCAGTAGTTCTTACCTGCAGTTTCAGATGTATCTGAAATAACTCGTCATATATCTGACTGATATGATGTGGAAGTAAATTCGGCTTGTCTGATGCTTTAGATTTTAGACAGCTGACAAGTTTCAAAGGAGAGTCACTTGCATCACTACAACATTCAGTCTGAGTTCTTGATGAGGCCATATTAGCTGGCACAGCAAGTGCAAAGAAAATAACATTTGAATTACAACCTTTATTAACTTATTGTTTCAAATATTTTCAGAGTAACCTTTAGGAAGAGATGCTTTAAGTACAAATTATAACATCAAAAAGTTTCAGGCCAGGCATGGTAGTTCACACCTGTAATTCTGGCACTTTGGGAGGCCAAGGCGGGAGGATCACAAGGTCGGGAGATTCACATCATCCTGGCCAACATGGTGAAACCCTGTCTCTACTAAAAATAAAAAAATTAGCTGGGCATTGTGGCACGCGCCTGTAGTCCCAGCTACTCAGGAGGTTGAGGCAGGAGAATCTCTTGATCTCGGCAGGCAGAAGTTGCAATGAGCCGAGATCACACCACTGCACTCCAGCCTGGTGACAGATCGACGACTCCGTCTCAAAAAAAAAAAAAGTTCCAAAGGGGCAAATAATAATATAGCAAATATGGTAAAGTGGTAACGTTCAGAAAATTTGGGTGAAGTGTATACAGGAATTGTTTTCACTATCTTTGCAACTTTTCTGTAAGTCTAAAATTATTTCAAAATAAAATATTTTAAAGTACATAAAAAGACATTAATTATCTAGCCAAGAAATGGAAAATTACCTCAGAAACCCCTAATTACATTCCCCTCTCCTCCAAATCAAATTTATCACTAACATAAATGAGTATTAAATGTTGCTTAATCTCCACTACTTAAAAGTCCTTGTTTTGCCTTTTATATTTTATATGTAATTATATGAACATAATTTCTATAGTGTCTTCCTTTAAACAGGTTCACACATATTTCACTGTTTATCCTGTTTTGCAAACACTATATATGGTATCCTTCTACAGGTGGAAATTTGAGCTGCTTTGGCTATACAGATACTATACAGTCTTGTACATGGTTTCTGGTGCACAAGTTTAAGAGTTTCCTGAGGAGCCGAGTGCAGTGGCTCATGACTGTAACCCCAAAACTTTTAGGAGGTCGAGGTGGGCAGATCACAAGGTTAGGAGTTCGAGACCAGCCTAACCAACATGGTGAAACCCCATCTCTACAAAAAATATAAAAAGTTACTAGGGCATGGTGGCCGGTACCTATAATCACAGCTACTTGGGAGGCTGAAGCAGAATTGCTTGAAACCAGAAGGCAGAGACTGCAGTGAGCCGAGATCACTCCACTGCACTCCAGCCTGGGAAACAAGAGCAAAACTCCATCTCAAAAAATATATATATATTAAAATAAATAAAAAAGAGTTTCCTGAGGGTGAAATTGCTAGATCATAGGGTTATATATGCAGATCCAGCTTTACTAGTGATGCCAAGTTGTTTTCCAAAGGGCTTATTTAATTTACTCTCCCAATAGCAGTAGGTAAGTGAGTTCCTCTTGTTTGGTATCCTTGTCAACACTTACTGTGAGAATTTATTTTCTGCTAACAATTAAGAGTATAAAATGCTCTTGCTCAGTGGTTTTAACCTGCACTAGACTTGTGGGAGCCCCAACTTTAAAAGGGCGGTGGGGGTGTCTTATACACCATCTTGAACAGAAAACGGAAAAACAAAAATAAAACATAGTATGAATTTTTTAAAAAGAAAAGTTTCACTTCACTCAGTTCAGCAAATGCCCTAAAAGCGAAAGGCACACGCACAGTGCTCTACGTGCCTGTCTAGGTTCCCCACTTAACAATCCCTGGCCTGAGCATTTCTTAATTTTGTCTACTTTCCAGTATGAGGTTGGTGCAAAAGTAATTGCGGTTTTTGACATTAGTTTTAATGGAATACAATCAACATTTTCTTTATAGCTTATCCCATGTTTTCCACCAGGAAAATCGACCATATAGCAGGAAGCACAAGTCCAGAAAATTATTTTTCATCTTCCTCAAATGCTGAGAATAAGGGGACAAAGGTGACTATGAAATGCAGCCAGAAGGAGAGGGGAAAGAGGGAAATGAATGTTGTTGTGTGTAGACCATAAAACCCAGGGAGAAGAGTGCACCTGTATTACCAACAGGGCAACTCAAAGTCCCGTAGCCCAGAGGCAGAAGGGTGCCATTTCTGGTTGTCTCATTTCCTGAAATCCTGACAAAACTATGAAATGCAGCCAGATACACAGAAAACTACCGATAGTGCAGTGCCCAGAAAGCCATACTTTAAATAATCTGGAGTATTTTCTCAAAACCAATATTGGAGTTACTCAAATACTATCACAATTATTTACTCAGTTATTAATTTATTTTGATAAATTTTGAGGGTATAGGAATATTCCTGGAAAATAACAAAGTTTAACTTTCTCTGCTCCTTTAGTTTTATAATAAGCACAGTACCTATGTCATGGCTTACAGAAGTTCAGAACACAGAAATATGCAAGCTCTTGGGCCAGTGTTATCAGTTGGAGGGAAGCTTCAGCTTCATGTACTCTATTTGACAAAGTTGCTACTTGGTTGTTCTAAAATATTTATTTTACCTTTTTCTATTTCTTTCAAAGACTGCTTGGTTATTTTGGAGGTACTAACTCTATGATCATTCTCAATTAACTCTTCTTCTCTTTCCTGTTTCTTCAAATCATGGAAAGAATCCAGTTCATCACCTAGGCTTTAAAAAAACAGTTGTGTTGCAGCAATCCAGAAGTTTACTATAGCATTTTAAAAAGATAAAACTGTCTTTCAAATATTAACAGCATAACAACTGAGGAAAAATGTAAAAACATTTTTAAAACTGCAAAATGTAAACACGTAAAAAGGAAAAATGTAAAAAGTAACAGTTACTGATCATTGGTAATCCACTACAAGCATCTTTTTCTACACATTTAAAATGACAAACACCTGTAGTCTACTCCACAGCGGCCAAACACTTCCTTTTGATTCCCAATAATTCGGTGTTATCTATAAGGTAGTTCTAGCTAAAAGAATGAATGTTTAACATAGGAAACGAAAACTAAAGAAGTCAAATAACTGATGGGTGACATAACTAGTAGAAAGTGGAGCAGAACTAGAATCCCAGGTGTTCTCTCCAGAAAGACAATCTGAGTTGACATTTCTAGAACAGTGTTGTTCAAAAGCAATATAATGCAAGTCATATAATTTAAAATTTTCTAGAACATTAAAAAAATAAATTTTAAAAATATATATTATTTAATGTAGTATACCTGAAAATTTATCATTTCAACATGCAATCAACGTTAAAAAGTATTAAGATAGAACAAGCATGGTGGTGGCTTATGCCTGTGATCTCAGCAGTTCGGGAGGCTGAGGTGGGAGAATCTCTTGAGGCCAGGAGTTCGACATCAGCCTGGGCAACACAGTGAGATTCTATCTCTACAAAATAAAATAAAATAAAATAAAATAAAATAAAATAAATTAACCAGGAGCAGTGGTGCATGTCTGTAGTTCCAGCTACTCAGGAAGCTGAGGTGAGAGGATCATTTAAGCCCAGGAGTTAGAGGCCACAGTGAGTTACAATTGTGCCACCGCACTCATAGCCTGGGCAACAGAGCATGACTCTGCCTACCGCAACCCCCTACAAACAAACAAACAAAAAAAGAAGATATTTTACATTATTTTATCCATGCTGGCTTACTTATTTACTTATTATTTTGAGACTGAGTTTCACTCTGTCACTCAGGCTGGAGTGCAGTGGCACGATCTCGGCTCATAGCAACCTCCGCCTCCCGGGTTTAAGCAATTCTCCTGCCTCAGCCTCCCGAATAGCTGAGATTACAGGCATGCACCAGCAGTGGCTAATTTTGTATTTTTAGTAGAGACAGGTTTCTCCATGTTGGTCAGGCCAGTCTTGAACTCCCGACCTCAGGATCCGCCTGCCTTGGCCTCAAAGTGCTGGGATTACAGGGATGAGCACTTGGCCCACAGTTCCTTTTTTTAAAATTGTTTTTAAAGAATGGGAGGAGAGTCTTCATTTGTGTCCTGAAGGAATAACCATAAAAATATTTTTTTCCATCTTTCACATTATATAAATAATTTTTCATTATGCCACTAAATATAATGCTAGGTCTATGCTTTTATTACAGAGATTCTCAATAAAAATTAATAAATGAGTTTCTTCAACTATTTAGCAGACTCCAGACTGCTTTGTACTTGCTCTCAGTAAAGAGCAAAAATATAATCTGCCCTTTTCTTTTTCTCAGTTTCCTGAGATACTGAGGGAGTAGTAACAGTAAGATTTCCGGGTACTTTACCAATTCACATTTACATGTTTGAATGAACTGCAAAATGGTTTTCTACAATGCTTGCTTTCATCAGAATAATATTTTAATGATGAACCAACTTTATCTCCAGAGGAGTAGATATCCAAATCACCTGTCAACGAAAAAGAAACCACGAAAGATTACCAGAACAATATATCACAAAATATCTGGCATTGACCATAAGTCTCTAAATAATATTAGTTTTTAAATTTTCTCTCTCAAATTAATGTTCCTTTTCATTTTTGAAACTGAGTTTCGCTCTTGTTGCCCAGGCTGGAGTGCAGTGGTCCATCTATGCTCACTGAAACCTCTGCCTCCCAGATTCAACCAGTTCTCCTGCCTCAGCCTTCCTAGTAGCTGGGATTACAACAGGCGCCCATCTCCAGGTCCAGTTAATATTTCGTATTTTTACTGGAGACGGGGTTTCACCATGTTGGCCAGGCTGGTCTCGAACTCCCGACTTCAGGTGATTTGCCCTCCATGGTCTACTAACGTGCTGGGATTACAGGCGTGAGCCCCCATGCGCCGCCTCAAATTAAATTTTAAAACCCCCAAATACACAAAATACTGGCTTACCTGGGGAGGTTAGAGATCTTCTCTTGCATTTAGACCAATCAAAATATGAAAAATCATACTAAAAAAAAGAAAAGATATTTAATTTGTATACTGACTTTATTGTCTCAAAATATTTCCCCACAAATTATGTATTAATTACATATGCTAGAGTGGAGAAATCTTGTAGAAACCATCTTAACCAAGTGATCAAACATCAACAATGTGACAAAACAACGTCAGGTACCTCCCCACAGCAGGCCACACATCACTCATCTCATGCTCCTGCCGAAAATACATAATCAATCTAATGAAGAGGCATCCATAAGATAAACCCAAATGGAGAAACATTCCGGTTCTTACACTTTTCAAAAAAAACAGTCTTACAAAAAACAAAGGCTGCGAACCTGTTCCAGATTAAAGGCAGCAAAAAGGACAAATGCAATCAATCTTTGTTCTTGGATTGGATCTGCGCTAGGAAAAATGTTGCCTATAAGAGGTATTATCGAGATAATTGCTGAAATTTCTTATGAACTCTAGATTACCCAATATTGTTGTATCAATTCTAAATTTCTTGAAAATATTACTGTGGTTATGAAAAGAGAACGTCCTTATGCTTAGGAAAAACACTTATTTCTATTTAGAGGTAAAGGGCCATGATGCCTGCAAATTACCCTCAAATAGCTCAAAGGGAAAAAAATGTGTGTGTGTAGGGAAGAACGGGAAAAGAACGAATGGTAAAGCATAAGTGGCAAAATGTTAATCTGTGAATGCAAGTGAGGGTATAAGGAAATTCTTTGTATTACTGCAACTTTTGCGTGTCTGAAATTATTTCGAAATAAGTCGCTTTTAAAAAGCAATTCAATTGTTTCCTCAACTCCATTCACATCACTGCAAGAATAGGCTGAATACTTTCTCCATCGCCACCCCATGCCGGATGTACCATGAACACAGACGCGTAGGCATAGGTGAAGCGGCGCCCCGCACCCCCTTGCCCCTGCAGGGCAACGCCCGCCCCTCCCGTCCGCTTTCACGAGGCCTGAGCCGCGGCCACTAAGGGCGTGCGGGGGCCGGAACTAGAGCCGCTCCACGCCCCTAGGCCAGCTGCGCGGGGCACCAGGCGAGCCGCCCCGCAGCAGCAGGAGCCCACCCGCGGACCTCGGGGCGGCGGCTTCACCTCCTCGGGGAAGCTGCCTCCGAGACCGTAGCGGCTTTTGAGACGCTCCACTACGAAATCCTGCCCCGGTGGTTTGACGACTCTCGGCTCCATAGCGCACCGCGCCCGCGACGGTCTCCCCGGGAACCGCGTTCAAACCCGCGGCGCAACGCGGTCGCAGTGCGTCACGACGTGTTAGGCCCCGCCCCCGAAGCACGCACGGCGACAGAGAAGAGACAGGACGGCTCCGGGCGGGACTGCAGGACCTCGAGGAAGCAACCTGGCCGGAACTCGCGTCCTTCGGGTTTCCAGTGCTAACACTGCAGATTTCACAACTGAGTGGCATTGCATCTCCCCACGCGAGTGCCGCCCCCGGCGCCTGGGTACCGGTGGAGGGGCACCGAAGCCCCGCATCTGCCTGCAGCGATCCGCTCCAGCTCCATTTAACCTATAGGTTCGATGTGCATTTGCGCTCACCACATACACCTGTCCTCCCATCAGAAGTGGCCTTTGCTAACTGCCATATGAAAGAGAAACCAGTAATACATCTGAGCCGGGAGTAGTGGCGCGCGTATAGTTTGGCTGCTAGGGAGGCTGAGGCGGGAGCATTGCTTTGAGCCTGGGAGTTAAATCTACCCTGGGTTAGCACAGCAAGGCATCTCTTTAAAAAGTTAAAAAAGCAAATAGATTAGCTGGGCATGGTGGCGCGTGCCTGTAATCCCAGCTAGGCAGGAGAATTGCCTGAACCCAGGAGGCGGAGGTTGCGGTGAGCCAAGATCGCGCCATTGCACTCCAGCCTGGGTAATAAGAGTGAAACTCCGTCTCAAAAAAATAAAAATAAATAAAAAATTTAAAAAAAGAAACAAAAAACAAATAGAAGACCGAGCATAAAAATTGCAAAGATTATCTCCTTACTTTCCCTGTGTTCCATATGGGGTATAACAGGGCATTAAAAATAGTAATTAGAATGTAAGCTCCCTGGAAAAAATACTTCATTTTTTTTTTTTAAGTTTTTACTAGTACCAACAACAGTGCCTAGCCATAGTATACATTAACCTGAAAACCTATGTTAAACAAAGACTGAGAGAAACTGTACGACCACTTCACTTTTCTCATTCATGTAATTACAGTGGTGTAATCTTCTAAAATGTGACTGTCAACTACATCTCTGGGCCAACAACTCCTAAATTCTCTGGATTAAAGTTCCCAAATGCCCAAGTTTTATAAACTGTATTTATGCAGTTACTATCTGAAAATTACTTAAGCCATACTCTTTGCCATAAAGTACCACTTAAGATGTACAAATATTACTTTATTGTCTTTAAGCAGATTTTAATGAGACAATATAAAATCCAGTTTAAAAGGAAAGATACATATCATCGTGGGTTTAGACCACATCAGTGATTAAGTAACAGAGAAATCAAAGTCCCATCCTGAAATGTGACACAAAGACTTTCTTATAAAAGCCACAAGCCACTTTTAAGCATCTTCCAACTAATACTGGAAAAGTCAGTTTACATGTCATTTTTGTCAAATTTTTGGTCAAAGTTTTAAAGCTTTTTAATTCGTAACTTTAATGCTTTAAGGAAAGCATAGAAATTTGCAAAACGTCTCTTAAAAAGCACTTGCATTTACTTAAGAATTTATTCTAAAATCATGACGAACGCATCAACTGTCTCAGCTAAAAAGTTACAACACACTTTACATCAGTTTCTATTACATAACTTTCCAAATAAGCCAATTTGAAATATTTAGTGTAAACATATGTAATCCATGGTTCTTTTCAAGATTGAACTGATACACAGTTCAATGAATTTGGAGTAGGTTTATTTCGCGTATCTGGCTTTGTGGCCGAGTGGAATGGTGATGGTACACCATCACTCATTACTCGCACAACATCCCTCCCCTCATTTAGCTGGTGGTTGAACAGTTATTTACTTTAGGATACCCTATTTCCAAATCCCCATGTAACAGGGAACAAACCTCACTGTCTTTCCTCACAAAATAAAATGAGGTACACTCATGAGGAAGAACACAGATGGGTGGAAGACAGTCAATATTCATAATTGTAATATACAAAACTTTGTATTCTATCCTGGATTCTTCGTAGTTCCATACTGAGTAGGCCAATAAGAACATTCGCTTTTCTTTAGCAATTTGCCTAACATTTGATACAAGCCATTTCCAAATACATTTTCAGTGTATATCAACGTTGAGAAACTAGGAGCTCTGGAAATCATGGGACAGTTGGAATGTACTGCCTTTGAATTGTCTTCCTTTAGACTAGAATGAACCAGAAGCACAAGTAATGAATTTTTTGAATGTCAATGGCTTTTATGAATTGTCATTTTATTTCTGCTACAAAATTTATCAGAAAAAGGTACTGCAACAGTCTTTTATAAAGCAAATCTTAACCAAAGAACACGGTATAGACTTTCTAAAAATATTCATACTTTATCACAATAACTACAAGGAAAAAATCAATTTCTATCATCAGAAAGAAGCTGCAGTTTCTGAGGTAGTAGAGACAGATGACAGAAAAGTTTAAAACAAAACTCCTAAAGGAAATAGTCGATTTGTTTAAAATGTAAAAATTAATTGAATACCCATGAAAAGGAACAGGAAGCTACATATTTTAAGGAAGGAAGGTACTCCACTTAAAAAGTTAACTTGTAACCACACAGGAGGTGTAAAGATTCTAGAGAAGAGCACTTCGGTTAACTCTATAGTTCTGTGGCTCCACCCATTCATAAATGAGTCTCTATGCATAACTGAGTACACCAATAGTTAAGATTACCAAATATATTTCAAATCTAAAATAAAATTATCCAAGCTGTGGTCCCTTTATTCAAATGATTAAGCATATCCATGCAGGAAGTCCAAATATCTTAAAAGAAATTAAAATTAAATTGTATATATCATATTCCTTCAATAGTTTGAGAAGGCCTATTGCTTTAAACAAGATTAGTATCATTCCATTTTAATACAAATGTCAGGAGTACATAAACACAAGTACACCTGAAATACACCAGTGTTTAAACTTTTATTTCACACCATGCAAGGTCAATTGTAACACATTAAAAAGTCGACAACAGCTATAAGCTGCAATTTTACATTTGTACATCAGAAACGTCCATTTTCAAAAGCTGAACATAATTACCAAATTGTAATAGCTAAGCTTTGACTGCTTATACAGATAAAATTTTCTATGAAAAACAATGATTTTATATCTGTCCACATTCTGTGATAGCTATTCTTCGACAAACAGACCCTTTGGGAGAACCAAATGATTCAATCTTTTTCACAGTAGCCATGCCATCCTTAACAAACCCGAATACTACATGCTTAAAGTCCAAATGTTCTGCTTTTTTCAGTGTTATAAAAAATTGAGAATTATTGGTATTCTGGCCTCGATTGGCCATGGATAGTAGGCCAGGACCAGTATGTTTCATATCAAAATTTTCATCTTCAAATTTGTCTCCATAAATGGACTGTCCACCCGTTCCATCATGTTTGGTGATATCGCCTCCCTGAAAAAGAGATTAATAAAAATTTATTTTTAAAAAATTTCAATTAATAGAAATCCTAAGTAAAACATTAAAATACACACAGAACTGATCACTAAAGGATAAAGCCTAAAGCCCAGCTTTCCTGAGTATGCAATTTGAAAACTAAGAAATTCATATTGTTGGAAAGATGATGAGAAATAAAAAGATGTTTTTCTCATCCCTTAGTCTCTGTTAAGTCTCAAGTATTAAAAGTTTGAATCAGCCTCCACATAGCTGGAACCACAGACACATGCCACCACGATTGGCTAATTTTTTATGTTTTGTCCAAACAAGAATTGCCCAGACTGGTCTCAAATTCCTGGGCTCAAGCGATCTGCCTACCTTGGCCTCCTAAAGTGCTGGCATTACAAGTGTAAGCCATTGCACATGGCCTAAATTATTTTAGGTTGAAAGTTTTAGGAAGGAGCAGGGAATGGGTAGTGATACCAACTAATGTGTGAAAAACCTAAAGAAATCTTAAAAACTACAGGATGAGGTCCAGGAAACCACTCAAATTTCCTAAGTTAGTGTGGTACACTCTTCTAGACCTCAACTGTGATATGTAGTTAATACCTACTTGGCAAACAAAATCTGGAATTACTCTGTGAAAAACGGAATTCTTGAAACCAAAGCCTTTCTCTCCAGTGCACAGTGCTCTGAAGTTCTCAGCAGTCCGAGGAACAATGTTCGAAAATAATTCCATAGTTATCCGTCCTAGAGGTTCACCGTCCGCACAAACATCAAAAAATACCACAGGATTGGTCTCCTTTGATAATTCTGCAGCCAGTGACACGTGTCCTTTCTGGAGTTTCAGTAAATTCTGTTGACATTCTTCGAATGTTTTCTTGAAACAGTCAGCTACTTCTTTAGTTTTAAATCTCACTGCAAGCTGTTCTACTTTTGCTTCTCCATCTATTAGGCAGGGAAACGGGAAAGAGTGAACTTAGTAAAATAACTGTTTTAAGTTGTTTTGTTATAGATTTTAGAAAAGTCCAAAAAATGAAAAGCAGCAATTGAATGTAGAAACTCACCAGCATAATCTGAGGCAGTCCAAACTAACGCATTATTTGAAACATTTAAGGGTTTTAATTCCATTGTTTTAGTAATAACGTGGTTTGCACACACTTTAAAAACCTGGTCTCTTCTCATTAGGATACGGTAATAATTCTTCATTGTATGCCAAAGAATCTTTATATCTCCAACACCACGCTCCTTCCACTGACTGACATCTCGATCCCATCTATAAAGTTTGGCTCTCTCTTTAAACAAAATTTCTTCATCTTCTTCTCCAGATTTTACTTCTACCTGTAATGGTAGATGAAATTCTCTATAAGCCGCTGCTTATAATAAATTCCGTGACAAATTCCAAAGATCCAATTTCTTTTTAAGGTATTTTCTTTGCGATGACTAACAGAATTTGTAATATCATGATAATTGGTTATATATCTTAGGGCTAGGAAGATACCTGATTTTGCTGAGGGAGTAAAGACCTGATTTGTCATTAAATATTTTCTTTCATATAGTATTCATTCTCCTTTTGAAAATTAAATGCTTTTCTTTATAGGACAGAGAGGTTTCAAAAGTGTTTGATATTGAAGAGAAGTATTAGCTCCTGACTGAGGTTAAAAAAATGATAAAATAGTTTTCTAGAGCAATGTTCTTGTCCAAAAAACATGCAAGTTAATATTTATTAAAAGGACTTTGGCAAGTATGAGTTTACTTTCTCCACAGAATCATGTTATAAAAACAAACATGATATTCTAGCACCATATGAAAAAATTATTTCCTCCCAACAATTACATATAGAATTTACAAAGCAATATTTATGTAAAAACATCAGAAAGAGAATTTATACTTAATGGCTAGATGTCTAATAAATAAAGCTTCTGTTTCAAATTGTAAACATTCTTAAAGATATACAAACAATGATATCCTGACAGATCGAGCCAGGATAAGTTTTAAACTTAGAAATGAAAAATAAGTTATAGTAAAAGTTTAATTCCTTAACATTTACCTCCGGTAGTGACACTATTGGTTCAAAATGAATATCTTCATTATGAACTACCTCTTCATCACTACCATCTTCATCTTCACCAACTTTACCGGTTGACTGGGTTCCAACTGATTGTGTTCCGAACACAGCCGCTCCAGTATTCGCCCACTGGAAATTTTTATCTGATGAATAAATTAAGATATTTAAACACTGGTATCTATGTTTTACATTTTTCATCCCCCGCTTATCAATGCATCTAATTCCCGATGATGTAATATATACGTCAATTTTAAATGTTTAAAATAATATTATTCTAGTAAATTCCTCATGCCTGTAATCCCAGCACTTTAGGAGGCCAAGGCAGGTGGATCGCCTGAGGTCAGGAGTTCAAGACCAGCCTGGCCAACATGGTGAAAACCCGTCTCGACTAATAATACAAAAATTAAGCCAGGCGTGGTTGCTCTTGCCTATAATCCTAGCACTTTAAGAGGCCGAGGTGGGTGGATCACCTGAGATCAGGAGTCCGAGACCTGCCTGGCCAATGCAGTGAAACCCCATCTCTACTAAAACAAAAAACAAAACAAAACAAAAACAAAAAGCCAGCCATGGTGATGTGTGCCTGTGGTCCCAGCTACGTGGGAGGCTGAGGCAAAAGAATCAGTTAAACCCACGAGGTATAGGTTGCAATGAGCCAAGATGGCACCACTGCACTCCAGCCTGGGAAACGGAGTGAGACACTGTCTTTTTTAAAAAAAAAAAAAAAAACTAGTAAATTCAACTCTTAACATTAGTACAGAGTACATTTGGTATGATTTATGCTTAGAGATACACTCCAGCCTGGGAAACGGAGCGAGACACTGTCTTTAAAAAAAAAAAAAAAACTAGTAAATTCAACTCATAACATTAGTACAGAGTACATTTGGTATGATTTATGCTTAGAGATACAAAGATAAGACTGTCGCCTTAGATAAATTTCATAATACAAATCTACACAAGAACTTCCAGTAAAGAAGTAGATTATTTACCTACTTCTAAAATTTCAAGTACCCACCTTAAAATTTTTTAAGCTTAGCTCAGCAGGCCAAATCTGCTACTTCAAAACTAGCCAAAATAGCCTAAACATTTTTATAACTTCTGCATCTCCACTTCTTCCTTAAAAAGCTAGTGTTGGAACGTAGATTTCCTGGCCCAGTGGGAGAAACTCACTGACTTTTACTGTCCCAAGGGATGTCAGAAATGTTGGGGGAACAATGATGGTATTTCTCTCTTGCGTATCTGCAAAAAGGTGAAAACTAGAAACTTCTCCATCCCACACCTCAATTTAGATGACCAAGTCCCCACTATCTTAAAAGAAAGAAACACCTCTCTTAACTTTTCATCACTTGCTGAATCACTGTCATAAAGAACCCTATACCTCCTGCTAAAAACTTAGCAGAAACTGCTAGAAATAGAAAATGTCACAGGGTATTATAAAAGGTAACTTGGCACCTTAACGAACAAAATAAATAAAAAACCAACTCTCTTTAAGACATATTTAATGAAGGGGGAAAAATGTTTTTATCCTTGAGCTGTAGAAAGAAAAAAAACAAAAAACAAACAAACAAAAAAAAAAACGTAGAGCCAGAGAGAGGGACGGGCATAGTGGCTCATGCCTGTAATCCCAGCAATTTAGGAGACTGAGAGAGGCTGATTACTTGAGGTCAGGAGCTCAAGACCAGCCTGGCCAACATGGCAAAACCCCATTTCTACTAAAAATACAAAAAGAATTAGCCAGGTGTCATGGCACACACCTGTAATCCCAGCTACTCCGGAGGCTAAGGCCGGAGAATCACTTGAACCAGGGAGCAGAGGTTGTGGTAAGCTGAGATCAGCACCACTGCACACCAGCCTGGACAACAGAGTGATCTCAAAAAAAAAAAGAGAGAGAAGACAAAAATTCTTAAGGACATAAAAGAAGTATATTGCAAAGAATGATCTGAGAACAAGAACCACAGGTTGCATGGGGACTTCCTGACAATAGTAACCACTGATCTGGATGAGACACCAACTTGGGGGCTCAAAAATAACTGTTTAGGGCCAGGTGCAGTGGCTCATGCCTACAATTCCAGCACTTTGCAGGGCCAAGCTGGGAGGACTGCTTGAGCCCAGAAATTTGATATCAACCTGGGCAACACAGACACCTGTCTCCACAAAAAATGTAAAAATTAGCCAGGTATGGTGGTACATGCCTGTGGTTCCCACTTGGGAGGCTGAGGTAGAAGGACTGCTTGAGAGCCCAGGAGGTCAAGGCAGCAGTGAGCTATATTCATGCCAATACACTCCAGGCTGGGCAATAGAGTGACACCCTGTTTCAAAAACAGAAACCAAAACAAAATTTTTCACCAACTTTTTTGCTAAAAGCAAAAATTTAACTAAAAAATAACCCTAAGGGACATGTGGCAGAATAATTCAAAATTCCTTAAAAATAGTGGTTATCTACTCTGAGAATACATCAGAATCACTCCTTTTTTTTTTTTTTTTTTTTGAGACGGAGTTTCGCTCTTGTTACCCAGGCTGGAGTGCAATGGCACGATCTCGGCTCACCGCAACCTCCGCCTCCTGGGTTCAGGCAATTCTCCTGCTTCAGCCTCCTGAGTAGCTGGGATTACAGGCATGCGCCACCATGCCCAGCTAACTTTTTGTATTTTTAGTAGAGACGGGGTTTCACCTTGTTGACCAGGATGGTCTCGATCTCTTGACCTCGTGATCCACCCGCCTCGGCCTCCCAAAGTGCTGGGATTACAGGCTTGAGCCATCGCGCCTGGCCTAGAATCACTCATTTGTAAAAATATTTGCAATATATCAGTATCTGGGTCTCAAGGGTCATAACTGGGTTTACAGTTATATTATTGTAACTGAATAACTAATTCAGCAAACTTTGAGGCATTAGAGAAAATAAGACAAACTCTAAACTATCTGGAAATTTATAAAAGTATAAAGATTCCTTATGAAAACCTATGGGGGATACAAATAAAACTGACCGCAGTAGTTTCAAATGCTATTTTTAACAAGCACAACTTAATTAAATAAAGTAAGCATTCAATACACAAGAGCTTGGTGAATAATCTCACTAAAAATGGTAAGTGGTAGTGAGAAGTGAATGTCAATGCATAAGGCTTATTTAGGCATGGTTTCCTCTTGATACATGAGTGTTGTCTACACTTCATTGTACAATACTGACATACTTCAAAAAAGATATACTGATTAACAAGGAGCCTATCTATTTCTATTTGGCATTTTTTTGTGTAAGTGTACCTACTACATTGCTTACTTGCTGACACATTACCCTTTAATTTCAAGCCGTTTAATAAATTAAAACAAAGGCATTTTTTTGTGTGTAACTGTATCTACTACATTGCTTACTCGCTGACACATTACCCTTTGATTTCAAGCTATTTAATAAATTTAAAAAAATAAATGACATCAGTGAAGCTACAAATTCCAACACCATATCTGAAGGTAGTTTCTAAAAGTTTTATGTGTTTCTACAGGTGGCAGGAGCTGTGAAGAAAGTGCAAATATGTAGGAGGAAAGAACAGAATTCTGAACTTCATTAATCATTCAAGCATATATCCTTAATAAAATTTATTCCACAAATCAAACACCTTGTACAAGAACTATTTAAGTGGTGCTATAAACAGCAATGTGAAAGACATTGCAAAAATAAGAAAATATAATGAGACGCCAGGCGCGGTGGCTCAAGCCTATAATCCCAGCACTTTGGGAGGCTGAGGCAGGTGGATCACCAGGTCAAGAGATCTAGACCATCCTGGTCAACATGGTGAAACCCCGTCTCTACTAAAATACAAAAAATTAGCTGGGCATGGTGGCGTGTGCCTGTAATCCCAGCTACTCAGGAGGCTGAGGCGGAGGTTGCGGTGAGCCGAGACAGCGCCATTGCACTCCAGCCTGAGTAACAAGAGCGAAACTCCGTCTCAAAAAAAAAAAGAAAATATAATGAACAAAAATATAATGAATGATAAACCTGAAACAATCAGGGAAAGGATGCTTTTCTAAAAATGTTACCAAAATGTATTTAAAACAGAAGTCCACTTAAGATGAGCAAGCATATCAATTATAAACTTACCACAATAAATTAGCACAACCCTAACACTAAAATCCAAAGACAGTGCAAAAAATAAAACTACAAAATCATATCCTTAAAAACTATAAACTCACAAGTCCTGAAATATTAACAAACCAAATATGAAAGCATAGTTAAAAGAATAATGTTAGAAAAGTCAGATTCATTCCGAAGCTGTTAAATGGTTCTGCATTTTGGAATGGGGAGGACTATCAGCATGACTTAGATAAAATTAAGAGAAAATTCTTATTATTATTTTGATAAATGTCAAAAAACAATAAAGCACAGAAGCCCTTCATTATTAAAATACTAAATGAACTGAGGTGTAAGGGAGGAAACTTCTGACTTAGTTATATACTGCAACAAAGAACAAGTTTTTCAGCTGTGCTTGATTCTGCAACAATGTTATTAAAAATCTCTCCTCTTCATCTTACCTTTAGAACCAAAAGCAAAATCTCCAGAATTACTGGAAGCCAAGTCTGCAAATGAGAGCCCTGTGCTACTTCCAAATCCGAATGAAACTATTTTTCTTTCCCCTGGCAAAAGAAGAAGAACAATTTACTATTTCATTTGTACTGAGTATCAAAGCTTTACCTAGGACCTAGAGAGAATATTAGAACCTCCTATATTCTAGGATGAGGGGAATTATTTAAATTCTGGCAAGTTACAAAATATATCCAATTCTGAGCTTCTTCAGTATTATTAATTTTACCAGTGCTATTCACAAGGAATACGATACTACACCAAATGCATGCCAAAAATTATTTTTTATAAATAAGACACAGAGCTATCTATATTAAGCCAGATATTAAACTGGTTTCTGCTCTGTGGAACCTACTATACTCTAAAACAAGCATTCACTCAAAGGTAGGGTTTTAGGAAACATCTGCCTAAAAGCTTTTAGTGTTCTGTGGTATAAATAAGCTCATAAAAATCAAATGTCTCATTTCTACTTGATCATAAGAACTTTTGGAGTCTTGTCTTAATTCTGCTTATGTGTAGCTGCATGATCTCTGAAAGCTCCATGCCTTATTTTCCTCATCTGACAATGTATTAGGTTTTAGGTATAAAGTCATCTTCCTCTTTTAGCATGTTAAGACCCTCAAGTACCTATAAATTTAGTATTTGTGACATTAAAGCCTTTCTTTTTTTTTTTTAAAAAAAAAAGGTAATGTAGATAATGTACACAAAGCAATACAACTTAAACTTCCCACTTCCATCTGCAAAATTGAAATGAAAAGGAGAAAGCAATAGCAAATATGGTGCTGTAACTAATTAATTTAGCAAGCTTTTAAACTGTTAGAGAAAATAAACATTTAAGTAGTACCATAAAACCTTTTAAAATCCCTATTATAATATTTCTATAATTTCTTCGTAAGTAAAACACTTTAAATGTGCTTGAGTGATAATATAATTCAAACAATATTCAAATGAAAACACTACCACAAAGGAAATTACATGTAAGCATACTATTGTCTTTTAAACTCAGGAAAATAGGTCAGAGTCATAATCCTTTGTATTCCCTAATAACCACAACTTTAATGACAAAACACATTTATCATCTTTGTAGACAAGACAGCACACTTTTTCTGATTATTATTACTACTAATAAGATGCCCCTTTATATACATCAAAAATTTTTTAAAGGGAGTTTTCAGGATCTGCCTTTAAAAATCTATCTTCTCAAATATAAACATAAGGTATCCCTTATGTAATGCATGATACCCAAACATATATCAAGTTTTACCTTGGCTTGTAGAATCTGTATCAATTTCCTTTCTAGTTGACAAATCTACAGGTTTGTCCACAGTTTCAGAGGAAGTAGGTGGTGAACTAATCGATGTGGTAATCGAATCAGGTTCTTCAGATTTACAGACAGAAGGTACCACCACGTCAGTCCCACCTATTGATACACTTTCAGTTGTGCTAGATATTTCTTCTGTATGAGATTTCTGCAAAGAGGAAGTCACAAAATATTATGCGATTTAAATACTGATTTACAAAAATGATTATATAATCTATTTCAAAAGGAACTGAGAACTTGAACTTCTGGAGAAGACAGAATAAACACACTTCACCCTATCTCTCCTCAAAACCTACAACTAGATGCCTAGACTGAAACATAAACAGCAACTCTAAGAAGCCTTGGAAAGGCAGATAAAAGAAGGAAGAATAAGGATCTTGAGACCAGAGAGAGAAACTGGTGTTAAGATCCACATGGAGTTTTTCTGCCACTCCTATAACCCAGCCTGGGTGCTAGAGCAGCCGAAAAAACTGGAACTGCCAATGGCAAAATGTCATAAAAAGAGGCTCTACTTTCTTCTCAAGTGCACGTGAAACATTCACCAAAACAGATCTCACAAAATTTGTAAGAACTGAACCATAAAGGAATTAAACTAGAAATCAATAACAGAATGATATACAAAAGGAAAATCAACCAAATATATGGAAATGGTATAGTAGCATCTAATGCACAGATTAAAAAGAATGTCTCAAGGAAAATAAGGAAATATTTCGAACTTCGTAAGAGAGAAAATACCACATATCAAAACTCGTCGATTGCAGCTAGAAAGTGCTTAGAAGAAAACGTACAGTATTAAATACTAGAAACAAAGAATGATCTTAAATTCGTAATTTAAGTTTGTTTTAAATGAAGAATCTATGCTGGGCACAGTGGCTCATGCCTGTAATCCCAGTACTTCGGGAGGCCAAGGCAGGAGGATCACTTGAAGTCAGGACTTCAAGACCAGCCTGAGCAATGTAGTGGAACCCCATCTCTACTAAAAACGAAAAAAGGGCAAAATAAACCCAAAGCAAGACAGAAATAATAAAGAAGATAAATCAATAGTATTTTTAAAACCTAAGAAAACTCCAGACACAGTTTCATCGGTGAAAAGTGCTCAAACATTTAAAGGAAAAATGGCACCAATTCAACACACCCTCTTCCAGAAAACAGCAATACAGAAAATACTTCTCAATTCATTCTATAGTAAAGCATTACCATTTTTTAAAGAGGCTACGTTGTTGTGTAGGCTGGAGAGCAGTGGCTATACACAGGCACAATCATAGCGCACTGCAGCCTGGAACTCCTAGACTCTGGAGCCATTCTCCTATTCAGCCTCCCAAATAGCTGGGACTACCCATACACATCACTGAGTCCAACCAGCATTACTCTTACACAGAAACCAAAGACAGTATCAGACAACTACCAGTATCCTGATAAATAAAAATCCAAAAATTTATAATAAGATTTATACAAATTGAATGCAACCATTTATCAAAATTATACTATGACAAAGTGAAGTTTACCCTGGAATGCAAACTCAGTTTTCTGAACATTTGAAAACGCAATGTCATTCACAGATTTAATAAAAAGAATCACATGACTGCATCAATAATTAAAAAGTTTTGGCAAAATTCAACATCCATTTAAGGTAAAAACGTTAGGTGATGATGTGTCAGTATAGATTCATCAACTGTAACAAATGCATAATCTTTTCTTTCCGTAGAAATTTTAGGATTCACTTGTGTATATTCATAAAGAATTCCTGGTGGGGTTTTGGTTGGTATTGTGTCAAATCTATAGATCAATTTTGGAAAATTGATATTCTAATTAATTTGAGTGTTCCAATCCAAGAACAGTAGGCCTTTACATTTATTGGATTTTTTTTTTTTTAATTTCATCAGTGTTTTGTGGCTTTTGGCACATAGCTCCTGTGTAGAACAAAATTAAAATTCCTTCTTTCCTGGCCATAGCTGACTGGTCTAGACCCCATTTAGTAGCCACAACCTATTATTACTATTTGGTAAGAACATTCTAGGTTGGGCCTGGTGGCTCAAGCCTGTAATCCCAGCACTCTGGGAGGCCGAGGAGGGTGGATCACTTGAGGTCTGGAGTTCAAGACCAGGTCTGGACAACATGGTGAAACCCTGTCTCTACTAAAAATACAAAATTTAGCTGGGTGTGGTGGCAGGTGCCTGTAATCCCAACTACTCAGGAGGCCAAGGCAGGAGATCTGCTTGAATCTGGGAGGTGGAGGTTGCAGTAAGCCAAGAGTACACCATTGCGCTCCTGCCTGGGCAACAAGAGCAAAATTCTGTCTCAAAAATAAATAAATGAATAACAACATTCTAAAGTTTACTGCACCAACAAAGGCAATGGAACTAAAAGAAAATTTTATTAGACATGTTCTTACTTGAGCATCCTGAACTTTTTGAAGCTCTGACTGAAAGTCTTCCCCATTTCCATTGTCTTCATCAGTATCACTACAGACTCCACAAAAAAAAGTAGATGGAAGTTTTAACGTATCTGCTTTTGTCTTCTCTTCAACTGTTGGTTTCTTTTCCCATACAATAATACATTCTTTTTCATTATCTGAAAAATGAGTACAACACAAGCAAATGAAATTAGATGAAGCCCAACTTCTCTACAATGGTAGTCATCAATGTAATCTACAGACTTAGGTAACAAGACCTGTATGTGCTAATGAAGGACAAGGACCACCCAGGAAACAGTATTTTTCACCTAATGTTAAGTATTTTAAATCACCATGGGCATAGTAAAATTGATAACTAATATCAGACTAGGTTATTCCTTCTAAATAGAAGACAAACATTATAAATGTCCTTTAAACTTAACATACCTGCTGTATTTTCTGCCAAGGGTCTACATTTTTCTGAGCCATCCAAATATAGTTTTCCATTAAGTTTCTTGACAGCTGTTTCGAAATCTTCATCTTAAAATACAATTGATTAAAACAATTTCTAGTTAATTTTGGGGGGTTTTCCTAGTTTAGGAACTATCTCCAACTTTACCCTCTCTCTCACTCTCATTTGAATTGCAGCCAATTTTATATCCTTAATAGTTCTCTTACTGCTAGAGCTTTAGCTCAGCCTCTCACCTTGTTTAAACTGCTCTACTATCATTTTAGCTCATCTTCCAATCTCCTTGTCCCCTAAACCTATCCTGTACACCACTGCCCAGCTGATTCTATTGAGACTTGAACTGCCCAGCTGAAAAACTGTTATGGCACACGAAGTTTTCCATTATAACCTTATCTGCCTTATCTCTCTCTTCCGTATCTTCAGGACTACCGCAAAATTACGATTATTTTAAACCACCTCAAAACACATGCCTGGCACATTAGCCATCCAAAAAATGCTTGCTTAATGATTACAGTCCTTTTGTTCATTATATCCATTGACTATTTTACACATACACTTAGGGTAAATATCTATCTATAAGAATATTAGTGATAAGTTCTAAGAGGCAGGCTTAAAATAATTAAACTATACTCCCAATTTTACTAGGATATTAGTGATAAGTTCTAAGAGGCAGACTTAAAATAATTAAACTGTACTCCCAATTTTACTAAGATTAGTGGGAACAGAGTGTTTTTGAAATAACAAGTTTTACCATCCTCCTCTTCTTCACTAACATAATCTGGTCTATTCTTGTAGCAGAAGAAAGTTGGAGGAAGTTTAAGTTTGGTTGCAAGGGCTTTCTGCTCAGCAGTTGGAGTTAGTTCATATACAATGAGAACATCATCATCTGAGGGAGAATCTTCAGGTTTTTTCTTCTCTTTTACTGTAATACCATCCAAAAAAAATTGACAAAGATAAGGTATTCAGAATTGACATTAATACTCTAACTTAAAATAAAAACCATGGAACTTAACCAGAGGTTAAAACATCATACTGATAAAAATACATATACTTTGATGCACACAGAAATGTATGATAATCATTAGCATCCTGATTGAGTGTTCTACCAAAAACCCTTAGTAAACACAGAATCTATTTAAAACCAAAGAAAACAAACAAACAAAAAAAATCCTGTTTACTTAATAGTCACTGAAAAGAATTACTACTAATTTCTAGAATTTAAAAAGCTATTTTTTAAAGTGTTGTCTAACTATACTTAGCATACAATAATTTACCAAAATATCCATGCATATGCAGCAACTGAAAAAAAACCTTAAAACATAAGCAAGTATTAGTAGACACATGAAACTAATCCAAAGCCAACTGTGATTAGTTCCTGTAAGGAAAGTTAACAATTGCCAAGAATGGAAGGGGACTAGAGTTGCATCTAGTTTGCCTACATCTAAGCATGAAAATTAAATAAAAACTGTTCTATGAGTAACTAACACTATAAAATCTAAGACCATTCATACGGCTGAAAACAACCCAACCCCAGCCACCATCAATGCAAAGGGCAAAAAATTAGAAAGAGAAAAAACTTCTATATGCCACCTGTTCTGATCTATTAATGTAAAGAATTTCTGGCTAAAGGAATTTAATAAAGTAAGCTGGTTGTGAAGCATCCCATGTATACCAACTGGTGACAGGGTAACATTCTGAGAGCTATGCTGTCCAATATGGTAGCCTACTCACATTCTATTAAAACCTCACAGAGTGGCTGGCCCAAATCAAGATGTGCTAACTAACACTAAGTGTAAACACACACACTGGATGTTGAAGACTTGGTGAAAAAGAATAATGTGAAACACCTTATTAATTTTTATATTAATTTTAGAAGTTAAAATGATATTCTGGACATAAGGAGTTAAACCAAGTATATTAATAAAATTACTTTCATCTGTTTCCTTTTTAACTGTTTCTTTTTATTCTTTTTAGTATGTCTACCAGAAAAATTATTTATTTTTTTTAAGAGATGCAGTTTTGCTCTGTCACCCAGAGCTAGACTGCAGTGACATGATCATAATTCAATGAAGCCTGGAACTTGTGGGCTCAAGTGATCTCTCTGCCTCAGCCTCCCAACTATCTGGGACTATAGGCACAAGCCACTGTACCTGAATGAAAATTTTAAAATACATACACAGGTTATATTTTCTTTCTCTTGAATGACACTGCTCTGGAAAACCATTGCCCTTCCTTTTACAATGCTAAATTTGTCCTTCTCCTTCATTATAAACAAAAACTTAGTATCATTTCCTAGCTAGGAGAAATAAAAGTACACCATAAGATACAGATTCTTGTTCCACTTCTGCTATTACTCAGTAAAGACACCTTGGGTAAATCAGAGAGCCTCTCTTGCCCTCGGTTTATTCATGTCTGAAGTATTCATTTCTAAGGTCCCTTGGGACAATGACATTATCAGATTCAAAACAGAATAAGGCTCTTTGTTCTACAGTAGTGTACAGGCACATTCGCTCTTAGGTCAGGGATTCTTAACCTAGAGCTCACAGAAACTGTATGCAAGTATACATCCACTTTTAAGTTCATACTTTCCACATTTCTCAAAGACTGTATCTTTAAAAATAAAAGATTAAGAGCTGCCTTAGCTAGTAATAAAACTGGTATATTTAAAAAAATGAAATCAGAGACTGTTACTTAATCATTGTACTTGTTTGACATGGCTAAGACGTGTTACTGGTCACTAATGGTAAGATCTCACTTCCCTAACATTGTTCTTGAAGGCCTTCAACAAATCCTACTTCTTGCTCCACTCTAGTAGCAACACTTCTAAAAGTGATCTGTGCAACATATATAATACAGAAACTGTAGAATGGTGGCTGTCAAAAATGAGGTTCATTTTCAAATACAACATTAATCATGCACAAAAGAACACCCCTACAGGGACACTATTCCATGTTGTATACATGCTGTTGCCACTACATTTGACTACTGGCAGACATTAGTTGCTAAAGATAAACGTTAGATAAAACATAGGTCTTCATTGAGCAGACTTGAAATAACAGAGCAATGAAGAACAAATCAGCATCTGAGAACATTTAAAAAACCAACCAACATTAAAGGGTGTCATGCCACCAGTCAAAAGGTACTTTGCTTAAAGTGGCATTCTCTAACATGCATGCTGTAGTGTTAAGTACTTAATTTCACATAGCCACAGTTATTAATACTTTGCTAAGGGCTACCAGCTTCTAAAAACTGCTGTTATCTCATATTGAGAATGCTAGTTCTATACCTTTGCTCTCAGGCTGTGAGGGAGGGGTGCTAGTCCAAAAGGCCGTGGGATTAGATTTAAAAAGGCTAAAATTAAATCCTAGAAAATAAAGAATATTTCGTTTTCTTAACATTTTGGGAAACAAAATGAATATGCTTATAAAACACAAAAAGCCAGAGTCCCTCAATTTATACCACCAATCTGTTTGTCTTACATGTTCATTTATCCCTGTAGTTTCATTCTTTGCTCAGTTAGTAAATGAGAAGGACTACATACAATATACAAAATGAGAACATCTCAATACCATGTTCTTTGTTTTTTGGAGACAAAGTCTCGCTCTGTCACCCAGTCAGGCTGGAATGCAGTAGCATGATCTCAGCCCACTGCTACTTCCATCTCCTGTGCTCAAGCAATCCTTCTGCCTCAGCCTCCTTAATAGCTGCAATTATAGGTATATGCACCACCTCGTCTGGCTAATTTTTATATTTTCGGTAGAAACAGGGTTTCACCATGTTGGCCAGGCTGGTCTCGAACTCCTGAGCTCAAGTGATCTACCCATCTTGGCCTCCCAAAGTGCTGGGATTATAGGCGTGAGAAACCATGCCCGGCCTCAATATCATGTTTTCTGGTGAACACTAAAAAAAGACACATGTTAATGCACAAGATTCAAGCACGAGTCCATATACTATACTGAGTTCTTTTGCTCTGCCCTAGCATGATAGAAGTACATTCCAGTTACTGAAATTTCTTAAATTAAGTTCTGTTGCTCTTTGAACCCTCACAGTGAACTTATTAAGGGAGAAAAAAAAATTGCTCAACTATTTTTGGGGTGCTCACAAAGCACCATTTACATCCCAACATTAGTACCCTACAGAGTCTGTATCAAGCTAAACATTAAAACAAAGAAAAACTGTACTTAACTTTAACAACAAAGTACTTACCCTTTTCTGGTGTTTTAAATGTGTAATTAATTGAAGATTCTTCCGTTGGAAAGGAAGCAAAGAGATTTTTGACTTTGCTATCTGAAGACTGTTTGATATCAGAGTTCTTTGACAATTCACATTTGTTAGGTTGTCCTTTTCTTTCAGATCCACTCTGGGATACTGAACTATTTTCGCTACTGTTACTTTTCAAAGGTGCATTAAAACTAAATCCAAACAAAGACCCAGTGGCTGAACTGTTGCCAAATGCAAATGGTTTTGATTTTTCACTACTAAAAATGCTTTTAACAGACTCTGAACCAAATACAAACTTTGGAGGAGAAACCACTGCTTTTGTTGTTGTTTCAGATGTGCCAGACACTTCGACTTCTGAAGTCCCATCTGCTATATCATCACCCTGAATTATATCTGTCCTCTCTCTTGTGGTTTCTTCTAATACAGCTACAGCAATTTTGCCACATGGTGACTCTCTGGGAGTGCTTGACCGAGAAACATAAGGTGTTATTAAAGAATCTTTTTCTTGGGCTGTTTTTGCTTCATCAAAAATTTTCTTAAATGAGTCTGCAACATCCTGTAGTTTAAAACGAACAGCTAAATGCTCCACTTTTCTTTCTCCATCTGCAAAATCACATGCAGTCCACACCCATACTCTTTCTGTCCCTTTCATATTTTGCAAGGTCATGTCTGGAGTTATTCTGTGATTGGCACAAAGTTTTAATACCTGGTCCCTTCTCATCACTATACGAACTTGTTTATTATCATAATTTTGTAAAATCTTTATATCGCCAATGCCCCTTTCTTTCCATTGACCAACATCTTTATCGTATCTGTAGAGTTTTGCCCTGTGACTAAAAACAACTTGTTCATTTTCCTCACCACTGGATACTTCAACTAGATCAGGTAAAGGAACAACAGGTTCAAAGTACTGTCCATCTCTCTCTTCTTCTTGAGTAACATCAGATTCTTCATCAGTGCCAACTGAAGTCCCACTCTGATTCAACTTGGCAGGAGACTTAGATGGACTCAAAGCAGATTTAAAACTGAAGTTAAATCCTGTTGTTGATTCACCAAAGCGGAAGAGATTTTTTCTCACGGGGCTACTGGCCAATGGGGAAGCGTGTACTGAGCTACTACTAACACTATCATCCAAAGCATCTTCCCTTAAATCATAGTTATCCCATTCTAATGTGGGCCCAGTGCTTTCAGGATTGGGTTTTATTGTTGTGTCTGAGGTACTGGTTGCACCTGTACCTAAACTCGTATTCTCTTCCTCAGTGACTTTTGTTTGATCATTTGTCAAAACTGTTTTGAAATCTTTCAGTCCACTCTTCATTTCTTCAGCTCTCTGTATTAGCTTGGCAGCTCTGCCAGTATCTACTAGTTTATGAGGAGTCTGAAGTGGTATGTCTAATAGAAGCCGCTGGCATTCCTCAAATTTCTGCTTAAATTCTTCAGCCAGCTCCGGTGTTTTAAATTTTGCTGCCAACTGCTCCAGTTTAGCATCACCATCAGAGAAATCACTGGCTAACCACATCCATGCTCTATCTGATCCAGAGAGAGGCTTCAGGTTCATCGTAGTTGTTATCCAATGATTAGCACACACTTTTAATACTTGCTCTCTTCGCATCAGCATTCTTAGTTTGCCATTGACTTCATTTTTGAGAATTTTTAAATTCCCCAAGCCCCTTTCTTTCCATTGACTTATCTCAGCATCAAATCTAAATAGTTTTACCCGCTGTGAATATAGAACTTTTTCATCTTCTTCTCCTGTTACAAGTTCTACTTTTTCGGGCATTTGAACTACTGGTTCAAAATGGATGTCATCACTATCTTCAGTCTTATAGGCATCATCATCTTTCTCAAAGTCACCTGAAGTGTTTGCTTTATCAGACATTTTACCACACTGTGATGAGAATAATTTTTCTCCAGCACCTGAAAATCCTTTGAAATTGGGGTCTTTTTTGCCAAACTGAAATCCTTCTCCTGAAGTTGATTTTGCAAGATCTGCAAATGTAAAAGTGCTACTTGTTTGGCCAAAAATCACACTACTACCATTCTTCTGGCTACTAATATCCTGAGCCTGGCAGCCACTATCATTTTCAAGAGGCTTTTCACTTTTGTTTTCTTGATTTCCTGATTCCGAAATGCCAAATTTAAATCCATCAGCAGACACAGGGACGGAAAATCCTTCTTTGGTTGACTTAAATTCTGTATTAGAAGAACCCTGAAACATAAATGAAGGTGAATTTTCTTGATCCACATGCCCAAATTTGAATCCTTGCTCTATATTGCCAAATTTAAAACCTTTTTCTGAGAAATTACTTTTAAATCCTATTCCCACCTGACTTCCAGAAGAGTCATGCAACTTCATTTCTGAGCCCAATGTGAAAGCAGAAGGAGCTTCTGCAATAGGTTTATGAGTTGATTTAGAAGCATCACAAGCCACACATTTTAAGGAAGAATTCTCATTTTGTGCATGGCAAACGCTACAATCCCACTGTCCTTCTTTCTTGATGAACATTCCTTCAAATCCACTCTTTGGAGCCTTGCCTGTCTCCAAAGAGGCAGGTGTTGAAATTGCAGAAGTTGTTTGATTTTGTTTACTTGGATTCTGACAAGCAATACATTTGGTAGCACTGGCTTCATTTCTTACTAAGCACACACTGCAATCCCACTGTCCTTCCTTCTTAATGAACATTCTTTCAAATCCACTCTTTGGAGTCTTGCTTGTCTCCAAAGAGGCAGGTGTTGGAGTTGCAGAAGTAGGTTGGTTTTGTTTACTTGGATTCTCACAAGCAATACATTTGGTAGCACTGGCTTCATTTCTTACAGAGCATACACTGCAATCCCACTGTCCTTCCTTCTTAATGAACATTCTCTCAAATCCGCTCTTTGGAGACTTGCTTGTCTCCGAAGAGGCAGGTGTTGGAGTTGCAGACGTAGGTTGGTTTTGTTTACTTGGATTCTCACAAGCAATACATTTGGTAGCACTGGCTTCATTTCTTACTAAGCACACACTGCAATCCCACTGTCCTTCCTTCATAGTGAACATTCCCTCAAATCCGCTCTTTGGAGCCTTGCTTGTCTCTGAAGAGGCAGGTGTTGGAATTACAGAAGTAGGCTGGTTTTGTTTACTTGGATTTTCACAAGCAATACATTTGGTAGCACTGGCTTCATTTCTTACTGAACATACACTGCAATCCCACTGTCCATCCTTCATAGTGAACATGTCCTCAAATCCGCTCGTTGAAGCCTTTCTTGTCTCCAAAGAAGCAGGTGTTGGAGTTGCAGAAGTAGTTTGATTTTGTTTACTTGGATTCTGACAAGCAATACATTCAGTAGCACTGGCTTCATTTCTTACTGAGCACACATGGCAATCCCACTGTCCTTCCTTCTTAGTGAACATTCCCTCAAATCCGCTCTTTGGAGCCTTGCTTGCCTCTGAAATACCAAACTTAAAAGAGGCAGGAGCTGGAATAGAAGTAGATGGACTTGGTTTACCTGGATTCTGACAAGCAACACATCTTGTAGCATTTGCATCATTTCGCACTAAGCATGAACTGCAATCCCACTGTCCTTCCTTCTTAGCAAACATGTCCTCAAACCCAGTCTTTGGAGTTTTACTTGTCTCTGAAGTACCAAATTTAAAAGAGGCAGATGTTGAAATAGAAGTAGCAGGTAGATTCTGTTTTCTTGGATTCTGACAAGCAGCACATTTTGTAGAGCTCCCCTCATTTAGTACCAAACATACACTGCAATTCCATTGTCCTTCCTTCGTAGAAAAAACAGATCTGAAATCACTGTTAACAGGCTTAGGAAGCTCTCCCTGGCCAAATTTAAAGGAAGCTTGATGAACAAAAGAAGATTCACTGTTGTTAGCAGATTCTGTATTCTGACATGCAATGCACCTAGATACACTGGGTTCATTTCTTACTAAACAAATACTACAATCCCAGTGACTTTCTTTCTTTGGAGTCATCAATGAAAATCGATCTTGAACATTCTCTGGGCCGGTTTTAGGAGTAAAAACAGTTTCACCTAATGGTGGGCCAAGGAGGTCTTTATTGCTTGGGTTTAGATTTTGGCATGATACACATTTCTTCGCAGTTGCAGGATTCTTTAATGAGCAGCTGTTACAATGCCACCAAGACCCTTCTTTCTTTGCAACTTGAAATTCAAAATTCATGTTTCCAGCATCAGATTTGCAAATATCCTTATTATCGTGATTTGTGGGTTCTTTTACAATTCTGATAGCCTGATTTGGTGCTGTGGCTACATTTGTTCCTGAGGCTTTCAAAATGCTTTGGGCTTCTTCAAACTTGCACTTAAAAAGTGCTGCTTCCTCAGGAGTTTTGAACCTAATAGCAAGTTGTTCTGGTTTTGGCAACTCATCTGCATAATCAAGGGCATGCCATACAAAATATTTGTCTGATGCAGCATTTGGTGTCAATTTCATATCTGGACTGATGTAATGGTTTGCACAGATTTTCAATACTTGCTCTCGTCTCATCAGAAGGCGAATTTTACCAGATGTTTTATGCCTCAGTATTTTCACATTGCCAATCCCACGTTCCTTCCATTCTTTTGATTCTCCATCAAAACGGAACAATTTTGCACGGTTGCAAAAGAATTCTTCTTCATCTTCCTCACCAGTTTTTACTTCTATCTTATCAGGAAGAGGTACTACAGGCTCAAAGTGAGGACCGTCATCATCATCATCCCCATGGGCACTTCCTCCATCTGTCTCATGATTCTTGTTTGCTATCTCTGCAGTGGGTGTTCCAAGTAACGATTTCCCTGGACCATGGAAAGTAAACATATCATCACTTCGCCGAAAAACAGAACTCTTTTGCTGATTTGGCCCCATGTTTTCTGTAAATGAAATTCCAGACTTATTTTTGCTTCCAAAATTGAATGTATTTCGAGGTCCAGTGGTTTGACCACCAGGAATTGGTTTGGGTCCACTATAGCTGTCTCCTTGCAAAGGTTTATCTGAAGTCAGGAGACCCAAAAGGTTTTCACTGTTACTATAAGCTGCAGGAGGAGGCTGTGTCACAACCTGTGGTGAGGAAAACGTGAAGTCACCATCATTTGATTTGAAATTTGAGTTAAATTTAAAAGGAGTTGGCTGTGTTGTATGTGCCGGTGTTGTCAAAGATGACCTTATTCCTTCACCCGGCATGGGCTGAACAAAATTAGTTTTCCCAAATTCTATAACCTTAGATTCTGCAGATCTTGAAGCATGGGTTGCAATTGGAGGTTTTGTGAAATATCCTGGTTCTGGCAAAGGTGGATTTGTGCTTGTCTGTTGAACATTGTAATTAAAGTAATCATCACTCCTGGGCGATAGAATTCCTGCTGCAGAAGACTCAAAACAACGCAATGGAGGAGGACCATACATCTCCTGAGAGAACATACACGCAGATGAGCTTTGCACTGGTGGTGTGTGCATCTGCTGCGAATAGGCATAAATATGCTGTTGGGGTGGAAGCCTATTCATGCCATAGACTGGACCCTAAAAGACAGAAAGTTAAAACATTTTGTAGATGGTCTATAAAACTACAGATAACCAAATATGAACCAATTTTCACAAACTTCAAACATGAATATTAAGTGAAGAAGATATCATTAGGGTATGTAGTATATCATTAACCCATTTATGGCAGAGGTCGCAAAATTTTTTGTTTGAAAAATCAGACCCTGGCAATGACCTTGAGCAGTAGGATATAGATAACCCCCACAAGCTTAGCATTCCAATAACGGAACACTAGGCATACATGGGTTAAGAGAAAGCCACATTACTACAAAGATACTTGCATTATATACTTGGCGTATATCAAAAATTACATTATCTTAAAATCTACAACTAAAGTCATAAAATAAATACTTTCTTCATTCCTAAACAATCAAATGATGTTAACGATGATGATTATGATGATGATGATGATGATGATGATGATGAACATTTATTGAGCATTTATTAATGTGCCAGCTGGGCACTGTTCTAAGCACTTTACATATATTATCTCATTTTAATATCCTTAAAACCCTATGAAGTAAAGGTATTACTATTATCCTCATTTTACATACGAGGCAACTGATGCATTGAGAGGTTAAGAAACTTGCTTGTGGTCAAAATAAGCAGAAGAGCAAGGTTCTAAATGCACCCCAACCCCGTCCTGAAAGCTGTCACATTCAACTACCACTGTAATACGGAGTCTTCAATCCATTGTTATATATATAGCTGTATAAGGCCTGAAAGTACTTACCACATAGTGGGACAGTAAGGATATTACAGTCCTATTTCTGTTAAAACAGAATGATGAAGGATCCACCACCACCAGCACCACCATTCCCATTTTTAAAATATTCTAAATATTCACACTTATTTTAACACAAAAATAAGGTGACTAATAAGTATAATTTCTGTATCTGGAGATAAATTTAAAATACCTACATCTTAAGGGACATAAAAGTTTTAATACTGAACTACTCTCTCAAATTTCTTTGAAGGACGCCTAAACAATTTAAAAAGGAGATACTTATAAATGTATAAATTATTCCTTTGTTACCTTTGTGGGAGTAACATTAGCTGCTGGTCTGAGAAGATACTGGGAATTATATGCTGGTGACTGACTATAATATACAGAAGGGCCAGTAGTTGCAACTAAAAAAAAAAAAGAAAATAAAGAAAACATTGTTAAAGTCTATACTACAGTTAAGACTATCTAGGCAAGAACTATAAATACAAAAACAATAGAAATTAAAGAAAGATTTAACTACATAAATTTTAAATTTCTGTACATCCAAATACATCAATAAAGTAGATTATCAAATGACAAACTAGAAAAAATTGCTAAATATGTCATGAAGAATAAGAGAATAGCATCACTGTGATCAACAAAAACTGCCTTCACAAGCATTAAAAAAGTAACAAAGAAGAAAGTAGTTGGTGCCTTTTCTACAGTATGATGTGGAATCATGGACATTCAGTCACAGAAAGGATGCAAGGAACCAAGATGCCATCTGATAGTCAATGCATTTGAAGTGGGCCAAGAAAATCTGCAGAATGACTGGGTTGCATTTTGTAAACTAAAGCTATTACTAGGAATGTTCAGATCAAAAATCACCTGACAAATTCATGGAAAGAATCTCACAAATAACACAAAATGTGTTCCCTGGCTTAAAATAAAAAGCACATCAACATTAATGCTGATGTGCAAACTATCTGCTCCATCTGTTTTGTGTGTTTTGCCAGGAAACCAAACAACTAGAAGGCACCCATGTTAATGGCAAAACTACCAAACAACGTTTGCTTGAACTGTGTTATGGTAGTTTTAACAGAAAGCACCAAAAGACCTTTATGCCTGTACATGTAAGAAGAAACCGAAATTGTGCCAAGAGGTTCCAAACAATTGCCTCTGGAAAGCACTGAAAAAGACCTAAAAAAGGCTAGCCAGAGCCCAAGTTTGATTCTGGAGACATAACAGAGGTGAGGATAGCTATTTTGAAATTACTACGGGCAGGAAGCAGGCGTAGAACATAGAACGAGCTGACAGAAATAACCCAAGAATCTTAAAATCTTGCAAGATGTCTGTGAGCATAAAAGCAAAAGAAAAAATTTTTAAATAAAATTTTAAATTAAAAAAAGAGGAACTTAAAGTCTAAACTTTAAGTAGAGCCTTTAATTGACTACTGAGTCTAAACTGTGGGAGGAAAAAAATCTATAAAGAGCTCTAATAAATCTACTAACAGTAATCTAATTTTTAATAATACCATATAATAGATAATTTAGGAAAGAAATGTAATAGGCCTCAAGAGCCATGTTTTTGAAGTGAGCCTTGAAAACCTGCAAAATTATAAGGTTGCATATTATGAGAATGTTCAGGTCAAAAAAATCACCTAACAAATTCATGCAAAGGATATGAGAGAGAACACAAATGTGTTCACTGGCTTAAAAAAAAATCACGTCAACATTCATGTTGATATACAAACTCTTCCCCATCTGTTTTGTGAGTTTTATCAAGAAACCAAACACCTAGAAGGCACCCATGTTGACGGCAAAACTACTAACAGCCATTTGCATGAGCTGTTGAGCATGACTAGTATTTAAAAAACTTAAAAATGATACCACTTTTGTTCCTACAAATTGGTAAAGGATTAACTATTAAGTCAGCACCAGCAAAAGTGTGAAGATGGCAATATCAGATACCAGTGATAAGAGCATAAACTGAATTTTTTTAATACCCTACAAAACTAGGACAGTGTCCTAGAATTTTTTAATGGCATAAACCAGAAACAACATAAATAAAGGAACAGATTTTACAATACTTCCATGTGATGGGATACCATGAACTCATTAATATTCAAAAACACTTAAGTTAAAATTGCTGGGAACTAAATTAACGTTGAAAAGACAGGCTAGCTCATCTACATACAACTTCATAACATGGTAACAATCTCATACAAAATACCATAGGTACACAAAGAGAAAGAACCAGAAGGAAATGCTCTCAAATATAAGAAATGTTAATAAGGTGGTTAGTTTTTCATTTTCTTCACCCTGTTCAGTACTTCTGAGGACCTCCAACGAGCTCATTAATCTTTCATTTTAATCATCTTATTTTAAAAAAACAAGGACCACCTTGATAGATGTTTACTTTTATTAAGAAAAAAAAAAAACAACATCTATGAACATAGGAACAGAAAACAGGAGACCTGGGCTCTTTCCCTTTCAGTGTTACAAAGCTATTTTGTAACCCTATGAATAACCCATCTGGAGTCTTCTTTTTTCTCAACTGTAAAATGAGGATGTGCTGCTTCTACACATTTCATAGGGTCATTGCAAGAATAAAATGAGACAATGAGAATGTTGTATTTATATGCTTATGTAAGACCAGAAGACCTTTATGCCTGTATACAGTAGAAATGGAAATCATGACCCAAAAGGCACCAAATGACTGCACACAGCCCTGAAAAAGTCCTCGAAAAGGCTAGCCAGTTTTTTTATCCTCTTACAAGGACCTATATGATGCGTAGGTTTTAACAAAGTTTGAATGTTAAACATTTCATATACTTACGACATTTAACAAGCTTGACTTCACAAAGATTTTCTGTTATTTTACCTATGTTGAGAAGATACTGTCACAAAACGCTAGTGTGATTGCCTTAACTATGGTTTTAGGAACCATCACCCAAATGTGCTCATCTAAACTAGATTTTATTCTAAATCTTTCCTGGGCTAAAAGAAATTAGAAGAAAAATATGCACTACTACCATTTCAGGAGTCTGTCTTACGTAAAATAAACAATTTTGTTATTTCTGGCTGCCTGGGAACAATGTATTATACTAGCAAGTGCTTCGGAGTTACACCACTGGAGTTTGAATCTCAGTTCTAGAAATAACTAGTTGTATAATAAGTTATCTAACCTTTCTTTACCCATTTCCTCATTTATAAAAAAGGATTAATAATGGTACCTACCATTCTAAGTTATGGTAATTAAATAAAATTAAATTCACAAAACAGTTTTGCACACAGCCACCCCACAGTGAACACTAATAGTAACCTTAATTAACTGTTTACTGTATAGTCTAATAAATGTCTAATACACACCCACGCCCACCTGCACACACACAAATGCTCATAGTAATGATGTCAGGCAAGTATTATTTCCACATTTCAGACAGGTTAATTTACACAGCTATTATACTAAGTGATAGAGCACAATTTAAAAACTCAGTATGATTCAGGTCGAAACTCCTTTATTTATATAGCCATAATATTTCAAATTAAGTAAGATTTCCTATATAATAAGATTTCCTATAGAATGTCCTGCCTCTCATCGTTATCATCAAAATAATTCCCTAGAGGTGTAGGTACTTAATTTAGGTATCAATACTATATAACTCTATTCATTAACATTTTTCAATTTAAGGAATAATCTCATCTCAAACAGGTTATCTGAGATGTGGATTAAAAGTTCTTTAAGCCTTTATGTACAGCTCGTTTTGTTTCTGCTCAGGGTTATAAAAATCTCAGTAACACCAAATAAGCTTTTTAAGTAACATATGAACAGACATTGATATGTATATTAACAAACATATATAAACAAGGTGATTTCACAAGTTATCTACTTAAAACAGAAAAGTAAAGTAGTTTTACTAAAATCTGTGATTATCCACTTGCCAGCTCACCTGTTAGTGGAGCCCCATGAAACGTCTGTGACCCCTGATATCCATCAGGCACTGAGTCTGGTCCGTAATTGTCTGTGGGCCAACGATGAGGGGATGCTGAGTTACTGCTGTTTAGTTTCAACTCCTGCATTTCTTTCTATTGGAAGAAAAAAAAAAATCAAATAGTTTTAAACATTTAATTATATCATGCCAGAAACAGTGCTGGGGCAAACTTACTCTTTTAAATTTAAGTAACTGATTATGTATCTTTTTTTTTTTCTTTTGAGAAGAGTTTTGCTCTGTTGCCCACACCAGAGTGCAATGGCATGATCTCAGCTCACTGCAACCTCCACCTCCTGGGTTCAAGCAATTCTCCTGCCTCACAGTCTCCTGAGTAACTGGGATTATAGGCACTCACCACCACACTGGCTGATTTTTTGTATTTTTATTAGAGATGGGGTTTCACCATGTTCACCAGGCTAGCCTTGAACTCCTGACCTCAAGTGATTCGCCCACCTCAGCCTCCCAAAGTGCAGGGATTATAGGTGTGAGCACTGTGCCCGGCCCTGATTATATCTTTGGAAAAATTCTATTTTCCAATGAGTTCTAGGTACCAGATGCTGATTTTAAAATATGATTCTTAATTTGTCAAATATTTATCTGCTACCATTTTCATTCCTTAATACCACCTACCTAATTCATTAACTCTCTCACCGAAACAAATAACCTCTTAAATGATAACACCTTCATTTCCATTCTACACTTGCCTACATTAATCTTTCTGACGTTCAGTTCTAGCCAATACAATTCCCTGTTCAAAAAAACAAGTACCTACAAATTAAACTTCTTTCTCCAACTTTCACAGTCCTCTAGTATTATACTGACCATCCTTTCAGTGTGCCCTTTCTACCCATCTGGACTACTTAACATTCCAAATCACCCCTGCCCAAACCAGCTTTCCATTTACCCTCATGATGAAACGAAATACTAATTCTCAAGGTAACGTTCAAATGCTTCACCAGGAAAGGGAAAAAAGTAGTAGCTGCAGAGAATTTATTATGTATATAATAGTATGTCCAAGGCACTTAAACATTTAATTTCTATACTGTTTACACTGTTAAGTAAACAATATTAGCTATCTTAAAATGAGAGAAAGGGATGCAGGGAATAACAGCTGGAATTTGAACCAGATCTGACTCCAAAAATGTTTTAACACATCTCTGCTGCCTTGACAGGATGGCAGATGTATACATTGCCATCCAGTGTGGCTAGTGGCTACCTGATCTCTGCTAAGAAAACAAAATGATAGCACCATACCCAACCCTAGAACCTACAAAATGATGTCCCCTTACAAAACAGACATTCAACAGGAAATTCTTTTTCCAAAGAAACTATAGTGGTATCAGACAACAGGTACATTTTTATTTTATCAGCCCAGGAATCCAACCAGTTTCAACAAGTGAGGTCAGTGACAGATCTAGAATGTCTGCTTTCTTTTTGTACAAGTGTTTCAAATAAAACTTCCCAGAAAGTACCTAACGATGAGGTCCAAAACCATCTCAATTTTGAAGTTAAATAAAATTTCCCTCACCCATCCATCTACAGTGCCTAGTCCAGATGCTACACAACCAAGAAATAAGAAACTACTGAAATCACCTGGAAAACTTTACGGTCACTGTAGGTATCAGCACCAGAGCTTTGAATCTGCAATCACTGCTGCAAAATTCAATGTGATAACTGGCTTCAATAATTCTCTCACTTTACAGATGAGAAGCTAAATAGTAATAAAGCAAGTGACTGGCCCAAGATCATTAATTAATGGCAGAGTCAGTACTAGCACCAAGTTTTTCAAGTTCATGGACTTTACCGTACTTCCACAGAGTAAATGCTGGGTGCCAGAAACCTGTATGTTAAGTCAAAATTTTTGTACAAATTCAAAAATGTTTTCCCACCAAACAGTATTCTCTGAGTTGCAAACACTACTGATCATACTGTAATAATCACATTATCAGAATACCCTTGGTGTAACTTTAGAAGTATGAGTAATTTCTTGCCTGATAAGCATGAAACAACCTACTTGTATTTCCAATTCCAAAAAAATCATGCTCCTTTGAACCCTATTGCTAAAATAAGATACATATACATAACTATTTCCTTACATAATTAAGTCAAATTCATATGGAAGTTAAAATATAAGAAAACTTTCTGAAGCTCAGACCACTTTTCAATTCCTAGCTCTAAATTTGAAACACATCTAATCCACAGCTAATCTTGGAATGAACTCATAGACCAGAGTATGATTAGTACATTGTAGTACTTCAATCACTCTGGAACCTTCTTTGTGCCAGAAACTCTTATATTTTAAATAAAACAATCTCCACCTTTGAAAGTCTCAAATTTGGTGGAAGATGAGGAGAGAGACGCATAAGGTACTTTCAAAAATATGGTAAAGGGCTGAGCATGGTGGCTCATGCCTGTAATCCCAGCACTTTGGGAGGCCAAGGTAGGCAGATGACCTGAGGTCAGGAGTTAAAAACCAGCCTGGCCAACATGGGGAAACACTGTCTCTACTAAAAATACAAAAATTAGCTGGGCATGGTGGTGAGTGCCTGTAACCCCAGTTATTTGGGAGGCTAAAGCAGGAGAATCGCTTGATCCTGGGAGGCAGAGGTTGCAGTGAGCTAACGCCATTACACTCTAGCCTAGGCAACAGAGTGAGACTCTTACCTCAAACGAAACAAAACAAAATAAAATGTGGTAAAGAGTCAATACAGAGGTGTGTAGGCTGGGCACAGTGGCTCACACCTGCAATCCCAGCACTTTGGGAGGCTGAGGTAGGAGGATTGATTGAGCCCAGGAGTTCAAGGCCAGCCTGGGCAACATGCAAAATCCCGTCTCTACAAAAAATACAAAAATTAGCTGGGCATGGTGGCATGTGACTATCTGTAGTCCTGGCTTCCTGGGAGGCTGAGCTGGGAGTCAGTCTCTCTTGAGCTGTCAATGAATTAAATTAATGTTAATTCTGATACTATTTGGATGGCAAGGGGGCATTTTTTGACCAGCTTCAGAAAAAATGCAAGGGAGTGGTCAGAGGAATCTCAGAATAAAAACTACAGCTAGAAAAATTAAGTGACTTACCTTAATGGCCTCTACTTGTTGGCAAATCATTTTCAGTAAAGAATTCTGATCTTCTGCCCATTGAGGTGGTGTTTTGGGAGAGTACTAAAAAAATTAAAATAAGAAAACAGTATTAAAACACTTAGAACAAAAACATATCTCACAATGGAATGGTTCATTTCTTTCCTGTTTACCTTGTAACTTTTACTCGGTGATAGTGAGTATTTCGTAGGAGACGGTATAGAATGTTTTATTTCTAAATCTGCATTTCGCAAAGAACCATTTTTATAAAGAGGACCTCCATCACTATAGTCTTCGAGTTCCTGCATGACTGAATTAAGCATCTCTTTTACTGACTCCAGGGTCACAGGCAACTAAAAATAAAAGACATTAATTAAGGGCTTTCATTTGCAAAAAAATTCCAAAAGTAAAACTCTAAAATGATGTATTTTATCTTATTTACATTTTTGTCACTTTAACAAGCACTTTATACTTTAAATAACAATACACGTGGCCAGGCGCGGTGGCTCAAGCTTGTAATCCCAGCACTTTGGGAGGCCGAGGCGGGTGGATCACGAGGTCGAGAGATTGAGACCATCCTGGTCAACATGGTGAAACCCCGTCTCTACTAAAAATACAAAAAATTAGCTGGGCATGGTGGCACATGCCTGTAATCCCAGCTACTCAGGAGGCTGAGGCAGGAGAATTGCCTGAACCCAGGAGGCGGAGGTTGCGGTGAGCCGAGATCGTGCCATTGCACTCCAGCCTGGGTAACAAGAGCGAAACTCCGTCTCAAAAAAAAAAAAAAAAAAAAAAAATACACGTGAAAGTGGTTTTATTATTTACCTTTTTTCTTTTTCTATTTTATTTTTATTCTATAGTTTTTTTATCCTTCATGAACACAGAAAAGTGTTGTACAATCTAACATCTTCTGATTCCAAAGTCCCTGCTCTTAATTTCTATTAGCCATGATAATGGTAGAGGAACTGTTAACTTGGAAAGTTTTTCCAAGTGAACAAAGTAAGTTACTGATGTTTTCTAACTGATTTTGAATGGAGACAGAAATACAGATGCTACAATGTAACAGACAACATGAATCCCAATAAAAGAGCAGTAATGCAAATTAATCAACAAAATACTCAGGAGACTGAACATAATTTAATATCATCATGACAATCTCAAATGCTGACAGTGAGAAAAAGAGAGAGTTCATAATAGCTGATGAGGGTAAGAAATGCTCTGAAGTTGTCAGCAACAACTTTCAATTTCAGCAAAGTTGAGAACTAGTCCTGAGGTTAAAATATTTGTTTTGATTAAATTGCTAAGACAACAAAATCAATGTCTTTTCTTAGAAATCTCTTCTAATTCCCCAAGAAGTACTTTTTCATATACTTAGATTCCTAAGATTAAAGAGACACACCAAACCTAACACGAAGCAAGCAAATACAAGCATTTAGACAATACATCCTTTTCTATGCATTAGTAACAACATATTAATGAGTATTTTTCAAATTACCAAAATACAAGACCAACACAAAAACACTGATCAGTGGGTTATCAGTAAGAAAGTACATGCAACAACCTGCTACTTACTTTCTTGACCACTGAAAGATTTGAATCACTGTCATCTAAAATCTTTATTAGGTAGTCCCTGGTCTTCCTCAGATAATTTTTGCATTCTTCTTGCTCTTCAGGAGAAAGGGCATCATTTTCAATGTCTTCTGCCTTCCTGTGAAAAATCTATATAACAGTGCTTTTATGAAATAATTAGGTTTTTAAAACAAACAACTTTTAGCTTGGCCAGTCATGGTGGCTCATGCCTATAATCCCAGCTCTTCGGGAGGCCAAGGCAGGCAGATCACTTAAGACCAGGAGTTCAAGACCAGCCTGGCCAACATGGTGAAACCCCATCTCCACTAAAAATACAAAACTTAGCTTGGCATGGTGGTGCACACCTATAGTCCCAGCTACTTGGGAGGCTGAGGCACAAGAATCGCTTGAGCCTGGGAAGCAGAGGTTGCAGTGAGCCAAGATCGTGCCCCTGCACTCTAGCCTGGCCAACAGGATAATAATAAAACTTTTAGCTAAAGTACCACATCTACTTACCAGTGCAAGATTCCAGTAAGAAATAACACTTTTTATAGATTCAAAGGCAGTCATAGCATCTTCTATATTTCCATTTACTGCATCCAATATAGCAAAAGTTACATGTGCATCTTCTTCATATTCACCAATTTCAGATGCCTAAACACACAAAACGGTGTTTAGTCAAATTGTTTCTATTCAGAATATAAAACCCAAATGATTTTCCAAAGATTTTATATGATCTTTTTTTGTTTTAATATATATTTTTTTATTTTAAAAGATGGAGTTTCACCATGTTGGTCAGGCTGGTCTTGAACTCCTGACCTCAGGGTGATCCGCCCACCTTGGCCTCCAAAGTGCTTGGATTACAGGCGTGAGCCACCACGCCCAGCCCTATGATGTTAAGAGATAAGCATCTCATTACTCTTCTGTTGTATCTTACTTGGGATAGCTAGTGAATTTAGAAAACAAGATTACCATTAAATAACAAGACAATTAATTTAAGCAGTTTATAGCTCCATGTCTTTGTTTATAAACTGGAAATCCCCATCTCCAGTAAATTCACAAAGAAACTCTGTTACCTGAATGTCTACACTATGAAAATGTTTAAACAAAGGATCAATAGGTTCAGGAATACTGCTCTTCTTTTTGATTATCTTCAACAATGGCAAAACTTTCTTCCAGTAATGAACACTTCTCCCTATGTATTCTCGTTGATCATAAAAAGAATTAAGACCACTGCCCTAAAAAAAGAGTTAGAAGCATACAACTTTAAGGAACACATATGATTAGATCTAAAGTTCATTTACAAGTTGTAAGAACAGGCTAAAATTTCAAGTAAAAACCAAATGAAACCTCAATAGTCATTTGTTCAACTTCCAAATACTGTAATAACTAAACCACCCTAATACTGGTGATCATTCTACATTTAACTTTTAAACACTTCTAATGATACTACCCTAATGGAGCAATCCAACCTACTTTTTGACAGTTGCCATTTTTGGATAGCTGAAACCTACCTCTTCCGTAGTGTCAGTTTGTTTAAAAGGCTGACCATCTATACATAATCCTGACACAGAACGCACCTTAAATATTTAGAAAGATCTATAATGCTCTTACCTCCAAAGCCTTTTGCTAGTTTTTTAAATTTTCAGGCTGAATAATTATCAGAACTTAATTATTAAGGAATAACTGTAACAGCTCAGCTAATACATAGCATTCACTGTGTGCCAGGCATTGCTCTTATAAGTGCTTATATTTAACTACATTAACTATTTTGTAGCAACTAAAAATATATTCATCTGTCATAGTGTGAACAAGCTGCTGTTTTCAGAAAAACTTTCAACAAAAAGTTCATGATTTTAAAAAATTAAGGTAAGCTTCTTTAAAAACGCTTATACTTTAAAACTCACCGTTTTCTGAAGCCATTTTGCCCAATGTACAAGTAGCGCGGGTTGAAGGCCATGTTTTTCCTGGGCTCTTAGAGTGTTTATTTCATGCTGAACTAGAAGTCGTAATTTTGCTGAGTTTCCAGGTCTAAAAAAAAGTTTAATTTACTAAAACTGCTTTATAAGTACACAGTTCAGCACTTACATATATGTTAATGGTGACATGACAAATTAAATCTTCCCTTGAGGATTAAATCCCTGGTAAAACCTAGGCACTAAGTTAAAGCAATATTTTTGTTTTACTACTTACACTGCTTTTCTGTGAATTAGAGTACAAACCGCATCCCACCAAGACTTTTGTCTTTCTGTGCAAAGCTGTTTACACACAGGAAGAGGCAGGCATAATGGCTGATAGGAGCTGTGGTGAGAATTACATTTCTCCTTTAATTGTAAGTGGCTGGTAAATACTACTCCAAGTAGAAATACCTGTTTTATTTAAGGAAAAGTTAAGTTAAAAAAAAATAAAACAAAACTCAGAATATTTAAAATTTGTTAAAATCGTTGCTTACTTCAAGATCTAAAACACATATTGATTCAGGTGCATTCGTTTCAAGCCTTGAGGTTTCCTGGGGCAAATGATGAAAAAGCTGTTTTAGCCATTTTCGGATTGCGGGTAAGGTAGGCAATGAATTCCACTGTAAGCCAAGCCAAGTAAGGTGCTGAAGACTACCATTATGTGCTCGAATAGCACCTGAAATGAAATTTTAAAATTGGCTTAAGGTTTTGAAAATTTTCTTTGTACCATTAGTTTTGCTAAAATAAATGAACTCACATTACATTTATCTTAATTATAACTGCTTTCCTATATCAAAGCTGGGAAAAGTTCTGTTAGGCAAAATCTCAGCTTATTAGATGCATTCTCACTTGATTATGTCTATAAATTTTAATAAACATAGCTGTGATAAAGAATTTTTAAGTCCATCTAAAAAAATGACACTCACTGGAATACAATAAACCAAAATCAACTGACAAAAGTCAAAGAACATTTAAACCAAAACAATGGGGTTTCTTTTCAGTTAAGTTATTAAAGCAATGAAACACCACTATATTAATCACCAGTATAGTAAAGAAATCTGTTTTTCTACAAGAAAGTCAATATTGAAAAGGTTACACACTTCTGGAAGTATAAAGAGGTACAATCTTTCCATCATTTTGGCAATTTGCAAGACTTAAAGGTGTTCATGCCCTTTGTTTGAGTAATTGTTTTTAGTTATCTCTATGGAAATAGCTTGCAATGAAGACACTTTGTGGTTTTTCTCAGAGTATGATTACTAACAGTGGAAAAGCTGAAAACAACTTGGATGCCCAGTAACAGAAAGGAGCAAGCAAATTACGACTACTTCACAAAAAAGATTATATTGCCATTAAAAGTGGTATTCATAGTTTTAATACAGAGACTATGGGAGATAATTCCTGAAAGAAGCAAGATAAATCATACATATAGTATAAACAACTATTTAGAAGAAAAAATACAGCCAGATGCCATGGCTCATGCCTATAATTCCAACATTTTCTTCTTTTGAGACAGAGTCACTCTGTTGCTCAGGCTAGAGTGCAGAGGCGCTACCTTGGCTCACTGCAACTTCAGCCTCTTGGGTTCAGGTGAATATCCTGCCTCAGCCTCCTGAGTAGCTGAGACTACAGGCACATGCCACCACGCCCGGCTAATTTTTGTATTTTTAGTAGAGACAGGGTTTTGCTATGTTGGCCAGGCTGGTCTCAAACTCCTGGCCTCAGGTGATCTACCAGCCTCATCATCCCAAAGTGCTGGGGTTATAGGTGTTGAGCCCCCATGCTGGCCCTAATCCCAGTGTTTTGGGAGGCTGAAGTGGGAGGATCACTTGAGCCCACGAGTTTGAGACTAGCCTGGACAACAAAGTGAGACTCTGTCTCTACCAATTAAAAAAAAAATTATCTGGGCAGAGTGGCATCTGTGTGTGGTCCCAGCTACTCAGCAGGCTGAGGCAAAAGAATCCCTTGAGCCTAGAAGTTCAAGGTAGCAGTGACCTACGATCCAATCATGACACTACACTCCAGCCTGGGTGACAAAGTGAGACCCTGTCTCAGAAAACAACAAGGCCAGTCATGGTGGTTCACAGCTATAATCCCAGCACTTTGAGAAGCAGGGATCACCTGGGATCAGGAGTTTGACACAAGCCTGCCCAACGTGGCAACACTCCGTCTCTACTAAAAATACAAAAAATTAGCCAGCCATGGCAGCAGACACCTGTAATCCCAGCTACTCAGGAGACGGAGGCAGGAGAATCACTTGAACTCAGCGGGCAGAGGTTGCAGTGAGACCAAATCGCACCACTGCACTCCAGCCAGGGCAACAACAGAGAAACTTGATCTCAAAAAAAAAAAAAAAAAAAAGCCACCTCCACAGCACCAAATTTGAACACCCCTCTCCCACCCAACCCACACACAAAAGGAATACAGGAAAATATTAAGTCATTATTTCTGGGTAAAAAGACTATGGGAAACTTATAAGGATTAAGATGTAGACAGTTTCCTTTGAAACATATAACTTACCAACATCATATCTAGCCAAATCTTCAAGCTCTGGTTCTTGTACATCAATGTTTCCAATATCATCACTACCAAGAAAAGATGTATCCTTAGGTGACTGACTAGAAAACAGAGCATCGTATAATGCAGACTGCCCGCTTTTATTGGCAAAAGATTCGACAACCTCTTTTAAAAAATCTTGCTTGCCACGACTTAAGTTTAGCAACATGTGCCCTGAAAAACAAATTATTTTCATCACTTTAAAAATACAGATTGTATTGGCCCACACTATTTGTATACCCAAAAGGAAAATAACATGATTATCGCAGACCTAACCCTCCAACCCAAAAAATACAGGTGGACAACAAAAAGGATGCTTGTATAGAAAATATTTAAATAGAGTCCAGGTTTAATATTATCTGTACCTACATAAGACAGGAGAAGGGAGAAAAAAGACAGGCACATGTATGAAAAATGCCAAACATATTTGCATTTTAGATGAAAAGGTTTGGATTTAAGTGGCCATAGGAGAGCAGAGACAACAAGCTCTTACTCTCCGCTCTGATATACTGATTTCTAAACCTGGCTGATCACAATCCTTCTTTAAACAGCTTTTAAGAATTATTTCCAGGTCCTGCTTCCAGAGATTTTTATTCCACAGGCTTGCAGTAAGTAATCTAAAAATCACAGTCCTAGGATAAAGTACTGACATATGCTACAACACAGATGAACCTTGAAAACCTTGCTAAATGAAAGAAGCCAGCCACAAGAGATCACATACCATATGATTTCATTTATGTGAAATGTTCAGAATAGGCAAACCTACAGAGAGAGAGTAGTGGTTGCCAAGGCTGAGAGGTTTGGGTAAAACGGGGACTGACTGCTAATGGGTAAGGAATTCCTCATGGAGTGATGAAAATGTTCTAAAACTGATTGTGTTAACAATTGTACTACTCTTTGAACATACTAAAAGCCACTGAACTGTACACTTTAAATGGGTAAAACCTAAGATATAAGAATTATATTTCAATTATACTGTTTTTTAAACACCCTCCTTGGAGTTAATTCTGCTGGGAAATCAGGTTTGGTTACCACTACACAGTTGTATCAGTACGCTTACAGAGGGCACCCTCAGGATGCCCACATCAGACATAAAAAAATACAGGTGAATTTTTTTTTTTTTTTTTTTTTTTTTGAGACAGTCTTGTTCTATATCCTAGGCTGGAGTGTAGTAGCACAACCTCCGCCTCCCAGGTTCAAGCAATTCTCCTGCTTCAGTCTCCAAGTAGCTGGGATTACAGGCATGGCGCCACCACGCCCAGCTAATTCTTTTATTTGTAGTAGAGACGGGGATTCACCGTGTTGATCAGGCTGGTCTCGAACTCCTGACCTTGTGATACTCCTGCCTCAGCCTCCCAAAGTGCTGGGATTACAGGCGTGTTCTACTGCGCCCGGCCAGCAATTTTTATCTAACTGTGACACCCTGCAAAGGCACTCAGAAAGCCCTGCAAGGGTAGAAGAAAAACAGAAAAGGAAAAAAGTAAAAGACACTTTTAAGGACTGAAAGTCTAACTCCCACAAAAAAAAAGTGGGCTATGGAATAGAAGAGCAATGTGAGCTTTGGCCAAGAACCTAAACATACACCAAGGCTTATAATAACTTTAATACTACATCTTGCTCTTTACAAAATTCGTCCAATTTTATATTAAAACATTATGTTTCTTCAGTTCAGCGCTTGATTCACTAGCTACCCAACTACCTTAAAGCTCGTATCTTAGCAAATCACAGGTAATAAGTAAGTAGCAGACCTTTAGGATGCATCCCAATCAGCCAAAAATGAGAAAAAAATCTAAAAATTCCAAGAGCCTAATACAAAGTAAGTACTTATCTTCTTTCTCACTATGCTCTCAGCTCTTTAAGATGATAGATCTGTATCTTCTTCATCTTTATTTTCCCATAGCAGTGTTTTTAGAAGCAGCTAGTGTTAAATGGTTGGCAAATCAATAATTATACTTAGTTCAGAAAGCTACAAAATATTCAGGATAGAGGCTGTAGCAGCCAGATAAAGAAAGATTTAAGAAATCCTCTCCACCTAGGGACAAACAATATCAAATATTCATTTCTTTTAAAGAATATGCTATCTCTTCTCATCTCTTCCATACCTATTGCTTGCTCTTAGCTGATACAGAAAAAGAAATGATTTTGATAAATTATCTCCTGGACAGACAGAAGATTTTATCATAAGACATGCCTTAACAGAAATTTACCTTTTTTCTTTTTAAATTAGTTTAACATTACCATTACCTGATTGGCTCAGACGGTCACAGGCCATCATTTCCAGCAGATTTTGTCCAGCTTCTCCTTTTATTAATTTAAGCTTTGGTCTTGGAACCTAATAATTTTAGAATCAAATATCTTAATTTTATGATACCCATCCTTCTAATAGTAAGACGGTCTTTTCTATTACACTGTACTTTTTTTTTGATAATAAATTAACACAACCATTAATTAAACTGAATTGGAAAAAAACTGCAAAAACTGGGAACCAAGGAATTTATATAACCTATGAAAGACAGGCCAGGCCAGGAGTGGATCACATCTGTAATCCCATCACTCTGGGAAGCCAAGTCAGACAGATCACTTGAGGTCAGGAGTTCAAGACAGGCCTGGCCAACATGATGAAACCCAGTCTCAACTAAAAATACAAAAACAAACAAACAAACAAACAAACAAACAAAAAACCCAGGTGTGGTGGCACACACCTGTAATTCCAGCTACTCAGGAGGCTGAGGCACAAGAACAGCTTGAACCTGAGAGGCAGCGATTGTAGTGAGCTGAGATTGCACCACTGCACTGCAGCCTGACAAAGCGGGACTCCATCTCAAAAAAAAAAAAAAAAAAAATGCTGTTAAAAGTAAGTCAGAGGAGAAAAAAAAAACAACAACCCACAAAGATGGGCTAGACACGGTGGCTCATCCCTGTAATCCCAGCACTTTGGGAGGCCAAGGTGGGGGGGGATCACTTGAGCCCAGAGTTTGAGATCAGCCTGGGTAACATGGCGAGATCCTATCTTAAAAAAAATTTTTTGTTAATTAGCCAGGTGTGCTGGCAAACACCTGTGGTCTCAGCTACTCAGGAGGCTAAGGCAGGAGGATCACTTGAATCCAGGAGGTCAAGGCTGCAGTGAGCCATGATCATGCCACTGTGCTCCAACCTGGGTGACAGAGCAAGACCCTATCTCAAAAAAAAAAAAAAAAAAAAAAAAAAAAATGCATAGAGCACTTCTGAGAAATTAGTTTCTACTAAAAGCACATTTATGTTACATTCAGAGAAATGGAAAAATTACATCACTTTTCTGCCCTGCATAAACAGGACAACAGCAGATGTCCTATTTCAGTAAAGATGACAACCCCACTTTAAATAGCACAGGTGAACAATATTTGGAAATGCCACATTTTCAGAGTATGGGCAATACAAGAAAGCACTGGAATAAATGAGACAGCTAGGAGATTAAAGAGATCCTAATGCCATAACCTATGGGAAAAAAGAAAGCTGAAAGCATGATGAATAGAATGTCGAAAAGACGACTGACGGTTGCCTCAAATATTAAAATTATTTTGTAAAAGAAATCATCAAAAAAAGTAACAAAACCAACAGGCAGAAGGCTTGAATTTTTTTTTTTTTTTTTTTTTAGACGGAGTCTGGCTCTGTCACCCAGGCTGGAGTGCAGTGGCAAAATCTCAACTCCCTGCAACCTGTGCTTCCTGGGTTCAAGCGATTCTCCCGCCGCAGTCTTCCAAGTAGCTGGGATTACAGGCGCCTGCCACCACACCTAGCTAATTTTTTGTGTGTTTTTAGTAGAGACGGGATTTCACTGTGTCAGCCAGAATGGTCTCTATCTCCTGACCTTGTGATCTGCCCGCCTTGGCCTCCCAAAGTGCTGGGATTACAGGCGTGAGACACCATGCCCGGTGACACCTTGCTTTTTTAATTCTTCATTGTTCCACTTCAGCACATAAATACCTACCTCAGTCTTTCTTTTGTTAACTACCACATATTTGAGCATCTTAGATGCTTATATTTTACATTATCAGTTTATGTTAAAGCTTAATGACTGAAGGATTATAAGCATAAAAATTAGGTTATGTGCTGGCATTTGGGTATTTAAGAATTGGCTAACTTTTTTTTTTTTTTTTTTTTTTTGAGACGCAGGAGTTTCACTCGTTACCCAGGCTGGAGTGCAATGGCACGATCTCGGCTCACCGCAACCTCCGCCTCCTGGGTTCAGGCAATTCTCCTGCCTCAGCCTCCTGAGTAAGCTGGGATTACATGCATGCGCCACTATGCCCAGTTAATTTTTTGCACCTTTAGTAGAGACAGGGTTTCACCATGTTTACCAGGATGGTCTCGATCTCTTGACCTCGTGATCCACCCGCCTCGGCCTCCCAAAGTGCTGGGATTACAGGCTTGAGCCACCGCGCCCGGCAGAATTGGCTAACTTTTATGGTAAGATTTTTAGACTCTGGATCAGAAGAATACTGTGGATCTAGTAAGCACATCTACCTTTCAGCTAGGTATTTAACAAAGTCTCTTAAAACCTTTTAGTTAAGATGAGGAAATGATGACTTGAGATGATTTGAGTGGATTCCCAACTGGTCACAAATTCAACTATTGAATAATTTTGTAAAAGAGGCCAGGTTTATGAATTGAGGTCAGTTTGAAAACAAAAAGAATGATGTCAACATTTTGTTTCTTATTTTGTGTGCTCTTTTCAACATACAGATGACAAAGTTTGACATGATGTTTAGAAAACTTGTGAGTAAAAACATAGATGACATGAATGTTTCTAAAATCCCAAATCAGAAACTTTTAGGTTCATAAACAATACGTTTTGAAAAATGAGCATGTTTGGAAAGAACCATATTCTCGTTTTAAAATTCTAGAGGCCCTTAAGAGTATGCTATGAAGACTCCTTTCTGGTCCCTATTTACTTCTCCACCTTCAAAGAAATTAATGTTAGTGTTTTCTTGTGTCTTCAAGAAATATTTATGCATCTCCATGTGTACACACATAGCCCCTGTCCTTTAAAAAAAGAGAAAAACATCTGAATACTGTATTTACTTTATTTCCACTAACTGTATCTTGGAGATATTTCCATGTCAGCATATAAAAAGGGCATTCTCATTATTTTAGATGCTTGCAAATTATTCCATTGTATGTATGTACTGTAGTTTTGGAGTTTTTAAAACCAGGGTTTTAAAACCAGTACATTAGCTTGCTTTTTTTTTTTTTAATGCTATTTCAAGTAATTTAGCAATGATTAACTTGTGCCATGAATTCCTAAAAGAATGGCAGTATCAAAGTATATCTGTTCATTTATAATTTTTAGAGCTGTTGCCAAATATCTAACCCTAAAGAGGCTGTACTGAATTGCATTTCCACCACCAATTAAGGAAGTGTTGATGGAATTAAAAGCCACTGCTCTAGTCACCCAAATAATTACTTTTGGACGCTTCTAGTAAGTGGGCATTGCCTATGACAGAACATTTTCAGTGATGGACATTAATTACTTTTCAGGGTAGCCCAGTGCATCTTCAGGTGATTTGGTTCTTGGTATTTCCTTATGTAGAATAAAAATATTCTGCCAGGCACGGTGACTCACATCTGTAATCCTAGCACTTTGGGAGGCTGAGGCAGGCTGATCACAAGATCAGGAGTTTGAGACCAGCCTGGCCAACATAGTGAAACCCTGTCTCTACTAAAAATACAAAAAAAATAGCTGGGCATGGTAGTGGGCACTTGTAATCCAAGCTACTTGGGAGGCTGAGGCAGGAGAATAGCTTGAACCCAGGAGACGGAGGTTGCAGTGAACCAAGATAGTGCCAGTGCACTCCAGCCTGGGTGACAGTGCAAGACTCCATCTCAAAACAAAACAAAAGCTAGGCATCTGGCAATAGGTAAAGCACACCCACAATGAAGCACAATATTTTTTTAAAGTAGATAAAGAATGTATTGGACATTTGCATATGCAAAAAATATTTCTGAACACCCAAGAAACTCCTAAGAGTAGCTGTCATCTAGGAACGGAGACCTGAGTGAATGGATTAAGAGGAAAACTACCTTTTTATTATTAAAAAAGTTCACAGCCAGGGGTGGTGGCTCATACCTGCAATCCCAGCATTTTGGGAGGGGCAAGGCAGAAGGATCACTTGAAGCCAGGAGTTCACTTGAAGCCAGGGTCAACTAGCTTGAAGCCAGGACCAACCAGCCTGGGAAACATAGCAAGACCTTCCCTTTTTTTTTTTTTTTTTTGAGACGGAGTTTCGCTCTTGTTACCCAGGCTGGAGTGCAATGGCGCAATCTCGGCTCACCGCAACCTCCGCCTCCTGGGTTCAGGCAATTCTCCAGCCTCAGCCTCCTGAGTAGCTGGGATTACAGGCACATGCCACCATGCCCGCTAATTTTTTTTTGTATTTTTAGTACAGACGGGGTTTCACCGTGTTGACCAGGATGGTCTCAATCTCGACCTCGTGATCCACCCGCCTTGGCCTCCCAAAGTGCTGGGATTACAGGCTTGAGCCACCGCACCCGGCCTTTAAGACCTTGTCTTTGCACAAATTTTAAAATGCAGCCAGGCGTGGTGGTAGGCACCTGTAGTCCCAGCTACTGAGCTGAGGCTGAGACAGGAGAGATTCACTTGAACCCAGGAGTTCGAAGATGCAGTGAGTTATGATCATGCCACTGCACTCCAGCCTGGGCAACAAGAGTGAGGACTGTCTCTCAAAACTACGTATTAAAAATTTTAGGCTGGGCACAGTAGCTCATACCTATAATCCCAGCATTCTGGGAAGCTTTAGCCCAGTTCAACATTACGGTGAGCTACGATTACGCCACTGCACACCAGCCTGGGTGACAGACCAAGACTCTAATAGATAACACAGACAGATAAATTTTAAAGTTTCCATTAAAAATAAGAACTATTAGCTACTTGAGAATTTCTGTAATAAGAACCTTTTAATGTTTATATTACCTAGTGAACCTGACTAAATCCATTAATTTTCACCAAGCCATTCCTTATGAACACAGAAGTTTCTATTGAGCAAATATTAGCACTCAACATTGTGAACTGCCTATCAACAGTGTTTTTAAAAGATTTCTCTAAAAGTAATGAATCTTTTTTTCCCTCCCCCAAGCAAAAAAAATCCTTCTCTAAAATTAGCAATCATTTTTCTAAGCCTGGTTTAATGCTTATTTGGGAGACTGCTTATTTCTTTTCCTTTCAAAAGTAATGCAAGCTCATTAGAAAAAAAGCATAAAAAAAGGTTTTATGTTTTCAAAGATTAATAGATACACTGTTACATATTATATACAATACAAACATGTTTTTCCACTAACATGTTAACGGGCAATCATATTCTTCTATCATAGCTAATAAAGTCATTGCCCTATATCTACTTATTAGGTTTTTGTCCAAGTCACACATCTATTTAAATTAAGGTTTACCCATAATGTGAGATTACATCTTTATCATACGTTCCCAAAAATGGCAGAGTAAAAACATCAAGCTCTTCAAATTTGTCTCCAAACAAATCACAGCAATGCAGACTGTAAACAGCAGTGCATCCAGTACCCTGTTTCACCAGCCTCGCTAATATTAAGCACACTTATTTTCCACTCTATCAAATTGACTATTTCATTTTAACTTTAATTCCACAGGTTTGGTCACATATTGTCATCACATACCAGAGCATACCTCCATTTAAAACACATCAAGACTCAATGAAATGTCAATTGCTCCTACAAGTGGAAGACTTACCTGAAATGCTATGAGATAGCACAATGCAGCCAGCTCGGAAAGAGCTCGCCATTGAATATCACTATGCTGACCCATCTTCAAAAGCAGAGAACCAGCATGCATGTAGAAATGTCCTTTCACCTCTAAGAAAGTAGCTGATAGTTCATCATTTCCATTCACTGAAGATTTCACAGAGTGAAGAGCACTATCAAAACTGTAATATTAAAATATCAGATAATCCACATTTACTGCACTGTGAATAATCATGGTTTCATCATTTAATTCAAAATAAAATGAAAATTTTATTTCAAGATTCATCTTCTACATTCAACTCCTAATAATTATTATTCCCCATGTTATAAATTATGAATCACCTAAAGCTTATTTTTATCCTGCATACTTCCTATACTTGAAGCTTAACCTCTCAAATGATGTCTTATTCCCAGTTATTTCCAGCCCTCCAGTCACAGGATAGATACATATAAGATTAGTGATTATAGGGGCATATTTCAAAATAAACCAGGATAAAGTTGGACAAGTATTTTCTAGTTTCTTCCTGATTATATGGTTTCATTTAATTAAAAGTTATAATTTCTCAAATTACAATAACTGACAGGTATTTGAGTATCAATATGGTAATTGCTCTTTTTACTATATAGATAATTACAGAGTTATATAAATTATATTATGTGTAATGTATATTTCAAATTAGTGCTTCTAAATCCTAATGTTTCTCCATATCTTAACTTTGGAAGAAAAGTAAAAGCAAACACTTAAACATGAAGTATGATTTTAAAACAGCTTTATATAATAAAGCAACCAGAGCAAGTGAGGTCTGGAGATCGCTAAGGGTTCTCAAAAACCGCTTGAGGGAATCCATGAAGTTAAAATTGCTTTTACAACACTAAGACATTTTATATTTTAAATTCTCATTTTCTCATGTATGTAGAGCTGAGTTTTCTGGCGGTTTCATGACATATATAGTTTTACAGACTGAAAGAGGAAGTAAATGAGAATCTAGCTATGTTTTATTAAGTGAGACATTAAAAAGATACACAAAAATGCAAGAAGAATGACACTGTCTGACTACTAGTTTGCTGTTTGAAAATAATTATTTTCAGAAAAAAAATGCTGCTGTTGTTATTGGCCAGGCACAGTGGCTCAGGCCTGTAATCCCAGCACTTTGGGAGGCCGAGGAGGTTGGATCCCAAGGTCAAGAGATCAAGACCATCTTGGCCAACATGATGAAACCCCGTCTCTACTAAAAATACAAAAATTAGCTAGACGTGGTGGCACGTGCCTGTAGTCTCAGCTACTTAGGAGCCTGAGGCAGGATAATCACTTGAACCCAGGAGGCAAAGGTTGCAGTGAGCCAAGATCACGCCACTGCACTCCAGCCTGGCAACAGAGCAAGACTCTGTCTCAAAAAAAAGAAAAGAAAAAGAAATAGCAGAACATTCATCTTAGGCTTGACTATGACAAAACTGAGTATTTAACTATAAGGCTAATTTTAATCAAGCTTGAACTGTAAGAGTTCTTTAAAAGGAAAGTCATATAAAACCAATTGGAACATCCCCATAAAAGAAAAATAAGATTGCCTCCAAGTGGTTCACTGTATTAACTATAACTCCTGGTACATTATAGAAATAATGATTCAGTAAAGAAGTTTAGAGCAATGAATTTACTGCAAAAAGAAAAACAGTGATTTATACTAAAGTGTTCTCCTCAAAGTCAACATACCTTTCCAGTAATTCTCTACTTTCCTGCACATCTCTAGTGGAAAGCGTAAGAAGCATAAGATTAGCATAGGCCAGCAGTAAGTCTGTATTGGTTGCTCGCCAGTTACTTTTATCAGACTCCAAACACTGTAAAGACTCCAGATATTCCTATTTTGTGGAATGAACAGTAAGTTACAAAACACAATCAAATGTTAAAAAATTAACCATTTTATGCCTACAAATTTCTTTTCTCATTCCAACTACATTCGTGAAACTATATTGATTTTTACATCAACCTTATAAAACACGAAAAATATATATATTTATCATAGTTCTCTCCCCAATTTTCCCATTATAAATTTTACTGATCCTGGTAAAAAATTCATTTTGTAATTGTTCTACATTAATAAAAGAAATTTAAGTCTCGAGAGGTACTGCTGCTTTAATACAAAAAGATGTATGCTAATTGACTATATAGAAATGTAAAGACCCAATAGCTTTTACCTACCTTAAGAGTTTGTACAACACATGAATTCCATTCTAAACTTGAACGCAAAGCTACATGCCTCTCTGCCTCATGGCAGTGAGCCACAGCATCCTTTAATCTTTTATTTGAGCGATATAACTCCACTAGCCGAATGTTCACATGGATGTCATCAGGTCTTACATAAAGTTCTGACTGAATCAAGTCAAAAAGTTTATTCCATCCATCTTCACCTTCACAATCTAAAAGCTGCTCCTATTTAGAGGGGAAAAAAAATCATTAGAGTACCACCTGTGCTATTTTACAAGTCATGGTCCCAATGAGCACCATTCTACTATGTCTAGCTTTATGATGATGCTACCAAAAATACCATCCTATATACCTTATTTGTCCCTTCAGTGAATTACTTGCAAACCAGAAACTAAGTCTCAAGAACTGTATGTGGAGAAAAGCATCTGTGATTACTGCAGTAGCTCATACTCTCCTCAGAGACTACCAGGACTATTGCCACACATCCCTATCCACCTGAGTCACCACCAGAAGCCTAGACCTCACCAGCTGATCCTCAGCAACAAGGTCCTTATCTTCAAATTGCTCTGTATGTCCTTAATCTGACTCAATCTTGCATCCCCTCTCCTCCCACTGTTCTGATGCCTTCATCATCATCTCAAAACACTGTCATCACCTCCTGACCTTAAATGAAATGAGTATCATCTCAGGATAACCCCCACTACCAGGATGGCTTTTTCTCTCTGAACTTACATACCAGGAGAGAAAGTAGGGTTTGTGGCCGCTCAGTTCTCATTTGCGATGCTCTTGCATCAGCCTCTCAAGAAGCTAGGACCACAGGCATGCACCACCATGTCCCGCTAATCTTTTTTTTAATATTCTGTAGAGGCCGGGCGCGGTGGCTCAAGCCTGTAATCCCAGCACTTTGGGAGGCCGAGGCGGGTGGATCACGAAGTCAAGAGATCGAGACCATCCTGGTCAACATGGTGAAACCCCGTCTCTACTAAAAATACAAAAATTAGCTGGGCATGGTGGCACGTGCCTGTAATCCCAGCTACTCAGGAGGCTGAGGCAGGAGAATAGCCTGAACTCAGGAGGCGGAGGTTGCGGTGAGCCGAGATTGCGCCATTGCACTCCAGCCTGAGTAACAAGAGTGAAACTCCGTCTCAAAAAAACAAACAAACAAACAAACAACAACAAAAAAATATTCTGTAGAAATGGGGTCCTGCCGTGTTGCCCAGGCTGACTACTTAGTTCTTTAATCACCTCATCTCCAGTAATGTTGTCCTCCACTCCATCCTCAACCACCCACTTGCCACTGACACAGGTCTTCAAAATCTGTATTTTGGTCATACCACTGAAACCACCGTACCACCCTTCTTATTCTTCTACCTCACTGGGGGCCTATGTACCCTTACTGCCAGAAATATACTTCACCACCACATAACAAGTTCCTTTCAGGACAATGATATCACAAAGTTTTAAATTATCTGTGAACACGTACTTTCTTCTGTCAGTCAAAAAATGCTATAACCCCTTATATCCATAATTGTTTGCTTAGATCCCCTCGACTAATTCCCTCTTTTCCTCAGAAGAACACTACCAACTGGTTTCTGTGTACTTACATTTGGGAAATCACAACCCCAAGCTAACTGATTTCATTTTCATTATCTCAACCCTCAAACTGGTGTTGCCTAAAACAAAATACTATTTTAGTACTAACAGACTCACTTTCTCCACTCTGACTCTTCCCACCTCCTCCTGTTTCCTCAACTTTCCCATACCTTCCTTTGACCCTCACTTTCAACTTACAATCTAGATTCATCCTTCACTGAGACACCTGATGCTATCACATATAAATTCCATTTTGCCTTACCTACTTAAACTCATCTTCCCCCAACTCTCTCTGCTACCAAAGACCAAGCCACCCATTGGTGTTCTGTATTTCATTCTCCTCTCTCCTTTATCAATTTCTCCTCTTCTGAATGAAATGGATGATATTCTGGCCTCTCCCTATCTACAAAAGCCCTAGTCTTTGACTCTATGTTAAAAAAAAAAAAAAAAAAAGAAATGTTTTAAACCATTGTGAGTGCTTTTAAAAAGTTCTATCTCATCCTTGAGAGAAAAAGCCTTCTCAACTGCAATACTTTCATCCGTTAAAACAAATGTCAGAAACTGTTTACCTTAGCAAGCCTTAAGTTTTAGGAGAAATGGAATATGTTGCATGAGTTATAAATCTCACGAATTTCAATTTCAAAACAAAGAATAATCTGATATAGGAAAGGTGTAACAGTGCCTTTAAGTTATTGAAGAAAATTTTTAAACTAAAGAATGCTTCAAAGTATCTAACTAGTTACACTGCAAGAAAAGAAGCCCCTACCATTACATATGTTCTTTAACACTACTGTCACCAAATAAAGTGACACATACTAGACTGCCATGCCCAATATGGGAATTATGTTTGAGGTATAACACCTAAGAAAGTATGGTAAGAAAGTATGGTAAAGAAATCTGCACAATTAGACCTAACGTTTAGACTACTATTTAAAATCCAGCTGCTTATTACTGAGGGGAAAAGTTTAACTTGTTAGTAATATTTCCCTTTGGAAGCATTTTCAATGATTTTTCAGCTTCAAAATTCTGTACATGATTGTTCATAGCAGTTGAACAATAGCCAAAAACTGGAAATAACCAAAATGCCTCTCAAAAGTGAATGGTTAAGGCTGGGCATGGTGGCTCACACCTGTAATCCCAGCACTTTGGGATGAGGTGGTCGGATCACCTGAAGTCAGGAATTCAAGACCAGCCTGGACAATACGGTAAAACCCCATCTCTACTAAAAATACAAAAATTAGCCAGGCATAGTGGCACACCCGTAATCCCAGCTACTCAGGAGTCCACAGCACAAGAATCGCTTGAACCCAGGAGCCAGAAGTTGCAGTTAGCCAAGATAGTACCACTGCACTCCTGCCTGGGCTACAGAGCAAGATTCTGTCTCCCAAAAAAAAAAAAAAAAAAAAAAGGTATAATTATTTCAAAATTCTATTTTTAAAATTTCCATCAGAAACATATATAATGGGAGTGGGAGGCTGCTAAAGGCAAATATACATTTATAATTTATTGAATACTGTACATACATAATTAAGTATACATTAAAATATATTAAACATTATATACAAATATATATTTTAAACGTGTGCCAAACATATTGGTAGACTTTCTCCAGAAGAGTTACTTAGTAAGCTGTATTTTACTTCAGAAAGAATATCAGGACGAGTCAACACACTAGCAAGAACTTCCTATCATTTTTAAGCAATGACATCTTAAAACCACCTTTTATCTTTTGCTTCAAAACCTTACTATCTGAAAATATAATCCCTTCTACTTTCAGACAATAGTTATTAGAAAACTCTTCTTTAAAATATCCCTAAATTGTCATCCTGTAGGTAATTTTCACTTAATGAAGCAAAAAATTGTGTACCAGGCAGAACTTAATGTAAATCTTAGCTCTACCACCAGCTACTAAACTGTAAAATCCCTAAAATATTAATTATTCCAGAAGGGTAAATGAGATATCACTTATAAAGCATGATAATCCCTAATAAGACAGCAGATGCTCAGAAAGGTTTTAATATACTTTTTAAAAGAAAAAATTTAAAGAAAACACAAACACCTGGGCTTAAGGTTTGCTACTGAAAATTTAAACTCCAAATATTAGAAACGGCTATGTTTTAAGTTTTCTCCCTTTACTTTTTTTTTGTTTTACCTTTAGTTTATAAACTGCAGGACTTCCTGGGAAAAGTTTAGCTGCTCTTTCAACCCAGTATTTTGCTCTTCCATCAGTAACATCATTTTTACAAAGCAATTCTGCAATCTTCAACACAAGATCTTTTTGTGTTGGGTTTAATTCCACTGAACGCTAATTAACAGAAAAGAAATTGAAGATTAGTAAATAAATTTTATGTATGTATGCGTATACACTCTCATACAAAAGTTAAAAAAATTATCATTGCAACTGTTAAATTCTATTTCTAGAGAAAATATGTTACTTCAAATGTGTTTAAATAAAAATGTCTTGGGATTTTCTGGAAATGAATCAAATAAAAATTACACTTTTATCGTATCAATGCAAAAAACACAAAAGAGCACCATTTCTGACCATGTTGGATTTAAAATTTATAGGTGTTAAATAATTCTAAATCTTTTCCAAGCTATGTCACACAATGGTTCTATGAGACCAATGCTTGTTTTATGATATTCATAAAATATATCTTATTTACTCATATAAACTTCTCTGGCCATCATGTGTTTGGCTATGCAGAGGATATAGAATCATGTAACTTACCCTGTAACATTCAACAGCTTTATCTGTGTTTTCTTCCAATTCATAAAGAAGACCCAGAAATCTGTGAGCTTTGGGATCCCTCTCTTGCACATTAATATATGTACAAATGTATCTGTTTTTTAAAAGTAATGAAAAAGTAAATTAAACTTAGAACTGTACTTTTAAATGATAACTAAAGAATACATCTTAAACCAAAGCAACCACTAAACTAGTTTATATTGTTACTCAATGCTACCCCTATTTATGTGGATAATTCAAAAGTATTCATAGAAAAAAAAATGGGTGAATCTTAAAAACTCGTACATAGCATTGACAACATACTCATTTTACCATTAAATGTCATATTTACATTTTTCTCCAGTGTTAACCACACATAAGAAATGAACATATAAATTGCTTTTTCTTCCTGATCACATTTGAATAAAGCACTGAAAGAGTTTTGCAAATAAATTAGAAAAGTGATTAAACATTTTTAAAGTTATTATAATGAAAAATCCTAAAGAGCAACAATTGTCCAAACAACAAAGAGAATATATTTACCCTTTAAGCATGAAAGTAATTTCTAACAGTACTATACCCAGCTAAAATTGAACAGAAGAAAAATTACTAACTACAGTACCAAATACACGCAATTCCCATTTCTCAAATCAAGTAACAACTAAAAATAAGGATATTTACTTATTTAAATATCCTTTAAAAAAAATAAGTAAATATCCTTATTTTTAGTTGTTACTTGATTTGAGAAATAGAAATTGCCTCTAGGATATCCTAGAGGATATTTGCTTATTAATACTTGACAGTATTACCACCAGAGAAATTAGGCCAGACCTAAACTAAGGGAGTAAAGTCTGACGATAACAAGGTATAAGGATTAAGAGTTACAATGCTGCTAGTTACATAATTTATGTACCACCATTTTCCTTTCTTATCAGCATTTCCATCTTCCTTTGGATGCTTTAAAAGCCTGCCTCCCGGCTAAGAGCAATAACTCGTACCTACATTCCCAACACTATAGGTGGCCGAGGCAGGCAGACTGCTAGAGCTGAGGAGTTCCAGACTAGCCTGGGCAACATAGTGAACCCTGTCTCTACCAAAAAATACAAAAATTAGCCAGGCATGGTGGTGCACATATGTATCCCCAGCTACTTGGGGGGCTGAGGTGGGAGGACCTTGAGCCCAGAAGACAGAGGTTGCAGTGAAACAAGATGGAGCCAGCCGCCACACTCCAGCCTGGGCAAGAGAGACAAATACTGCCTCAAAACAAACAAACAAAACAAAAAAGCCTGCCTCCCTCTTAATTTTCTGCTTTAATCCACTCCAAGTCAGGAAATCAGAATCACCAAGCTTCTTAATCCCTAGGATAGAGCCTTAGAGCGTCACATATTGCGTCAATTAAAGATCTTTTATACAAGCTATTTTCCTGCCTTGCAATTACAGTTGAATTTTTTATTCACTGATATTTTCCATCTGATTAAGGTATCAGATACCTAACCAAAAATAAATTAAGATATAGGCATGGTCCTCTTTTACTCTAACGCAAGACAATTTTTAGAAAAAATGTTTTAAGCTAAACAGTTTCTTGCCCTTGGTATAAACAAACAGCATCATGCAGAAAACACTAATTACAGGTTCAATCTCAATGGAATCTAGGCTGGTCCTTAGCATCAGACCAAGTAATAGATCCCCTTATTCCAGAATACACTTAGGAAGAACTACTAAAGAATCTATTTTTACCTATTTCAAAGTAGAAAATGGAGGAAAGGCATTGATTTTAAAAAACAAATACATGTTTAAAGCTTGTACTTACTTTTTAGCAAGATCATATTCTTTAGCTTCATAATACAGTTTTGCAAAATAGAATCCTTTCATTGACTTCTAAAAAAAAAAGTAAAAGTTATTTTACTTTTCATATAGAAATATTTTCCAACATATTTTCAAAAGTAGCAAAAATTTGTCTTAACAAAGTTTATGTAAAAATGTCATTTTGTCCAATTTTTTTTTTTTAAAGACTGAAAAATGGATGTATACACTGAATGCATGACTCCATGTTTTATAATTTCCTATAATGAAACAAAAAATAGGGCTGGGCATGGTGGCTCACACCTATAATCCAAATACTTTGGGAGGCTGAGGTGGATCAATCACCTGAGATTAGGAGTTCAAGACCAGCCTGGCCAACATGGTAAAATCCCATCTCTACAAAAATACAAAAATTAGCTGGGCATGATGGCGGGTGCCTGTAATACCACCTACTTGGGAGGCTGAGGCACGAGAATCACACGAACCTGGGAAGCAGAGGTTGCATTGAGCTGAAACCTGGACGACAGGAGACTCCATCTCCAAAAGAAATAGGCTGGGCACAGTGGTTCACACCTTTAATTCTAGCACTTTGAGACCAAGGTGGGAGGCTCGCTTTGAGGCCAAGGGTTTGACACTAGCCTGTTTAACACAAGATCCTGTTTCCACGGGAAAAAAATAGCCAGGCATGGTGCAGCACGCCTGTGTGATCCTAGCTACTCAGGAAGCCAAGGCAGGAGAATTACTTGAGCCCCAGAGGTTGACAGTGCAGTGGGTTATGATCATGACACTGCACTCCAGTCTGGGTGACAGAGGGAGACCCTGTTTCTAAATAATAAATAAATATATACATACAAAAAATAAATTCAAGAATAGCAAGACAAATAGACAAAAGAAGTTAAGAATTTTCATCAGCCTTGAAAACCTTAGAAACCATCTGGTACCACTCTCACTTAACAAAATAAACCATCTTTCTTTGGGGAGGAAAGATATTCCAGAAATCTCTTCTCCTACCATGTGTAAGCCTCTATGGGAAAGAGTAAGTATTCAGAACCTATTACGGCACTGAGGATTCCCTGGTCCATGTACTGTTCTCTCTACAGATCAGATTAGTATTTTACAGTCAAGGAATCAAAAAGCAGAAATAAATATTGAATTCTTCAAGTAATAAACAAAGTCCACAGCCTGGCTCGTTTACATAAATTCCAAAGTCCAGAATGCTTATACACACCATGACAGGTGGTGTGGCTCACACCTATAATCCTAGCACTTTGGGAGGCTGAGGCAGGTGGATCACTTGAGGCCAAGAGTTAGAGACCAGCCTGGCCAACATGCAGAAACCCCGTTTCTATTAAAAATATAAAAATTAGCTGGACATGGTGGCACACGCCTGTAATCCCCGCTGCTCGGGAGGTTGAGGCACAAGAATCTCTTTGAACCCAGGAGGCAGAGGTTGCAGTAGACCAAGATCGCACCACTGTACTCCAGCCTGGGTGACAGAGTGACTCCATCTCAAAAAAAGAAAACCAAAATGCTGATATAACCAAATTATGTTCCATCCATGTGATAAAGAGTATACAGCTACTCATACATCTTATTTTTGAAATTCCAAGTCCCTAGTGAATGTCCAAAACGATGAACAGTACCAAAGCAGGTTGCCATCAATCGAAACATGCTTCCTGTTTGTGTCCTCCACCCACAAATTTAATGTCTTGTCCATCTTAACTAAGCAATTATCACACACTGTGGCTGTAGCTTTTGCAGTTTGAATTGAAACCAAACTAGCACAAATTTCTTTTTTCTTCTTCACAACTTCATGGACAGAAGATTTGTTCTTACCATAGATCTCAGCAGCCCCAGTATATGATCTTTTTTCTTTCCTAAGTCAAAAACATGCCTTTTCACTTAAAGGAAGCACTCTATGGCTTCTCTCTGGCATATGTGAATTGCCAGCATCACTACTCTTGCTCTTTGGTGCCATTTTAAATAATTATGGGTTACTTGAACACAAACACTGTAACACTACAATAGTTATCTGATAACTGAGATGGCTAGTATGTAATTAGCAGGTGGGGAGCACATACAGCGTGAATATGCTGGACAAAGGGATGATTTATGTCCTGGGTAGGACAGAGCAGGAGGCTGTGAGATTTTATCATGTTATACAGAACTGTTTGCAATTTAAAACTTATGAAACGTTTATTTCTATAATCTTCCATTCAATACTTTTGGACCATGGGTTACTGCAGGTAAGTAAAACCACATAAGGTAATACTGTGGATAGGAAGTAACGTAACAATCAGAAAAGGAAATTAAGAAAGCAATTCCATTTACGATCATATCCAAGGAGGTGAAAGACTTCTATGCTTAAATTACAAAACATTGCTCAAGGCCAGGCTAAAACCTACAATCCCAGCAGTTTGGGAGACCTCAGCAGGTGGATCACTTGAGCCCAGGAGTTTTGAGACCACCCTAGGCAACATGGAAAAACCCTGTGTCTACTAACAATGCAAAATAAATATCCAGGGATGGCAGCATGTGCCTGTAGTCCCAGCTACTCGGGAGACGGAGGCAGGAGTCTGGGAGGTCAGGGATGCAGTAAGCAGTGACAGTACTACTCCACTCAAGCTTGGGTGACAGAGCCAAACGCTATCTAAACAAAAACAAAACTGCTCAAAGAAGTTAAAAGATCTAAATAAATGGAAAGACATCTGTGTTCATAAACAGAAAAACCTAATATTGTCAAGATGTCAATATTCTCCAAAGTGAGCTAAAGATTCAATGCAATCAAAATTCAATGCTATCAAAATTCTAATGGCCACTTTTGCAGAAATAGAAAAACCACTCCTCAGATTCTTATGAGATTGCAAGGTGCCCAAAAGCCAAACATTCTTAAAAAAGAACAAAGTTGGAGGAACTCACACTTCTCAATTTCAAAACTTACCACAAAGCTACGACAATCAAAACAGTGTCATGGGCCGGGCGCGGTGGCTCAAGCCTGTAATCCCAGGACTTTGGGAGGCCGAGGCGGGTGGATCACAAGGTCAAGAGATCGAGACCATCCTGGCCAACATGGTGAAACCCCGCCTCTACTAAAAATACAAAAAATAGCTGGGCATGGTGGCACGTGCCTGTAATCCCAGGTACTCAGGAGGCTGAGGCAGGAGAATTGCCTGAACCCAGGAGGCGGAGGTTGTGGTGAGCCGAGATGGTGCCATTGCACTCCAGCCTGGGTAACAAGAGCGAAACTCCATCTCAAAAAAAAAAAAAAAAAAAAAAAAAAAAAACTGTCATACTGGCATAGGATACACACATACAGACCAATAAAACAGAATTGAGAGTTCAGAAATAAATCCATAATCTATGGCCAGTTGATTCTGACAAGGGTGCCAAGTCCATCTGATAAGAAAAAAACAGCCTTTACAAAAATGGTGAAGATACAATGGAATTTCCACATGCAAAAGATTAAGGTTGAACCCTACCACATTTCATATACAAAAATGACCCCAAAATGGACCAACAACTTAAAAAGAGCAAAAAGTATAAAACTCTAAGAAAAACAGGAGTAAATCTTCATGACATGAGATTTAGCAATGTATTCTTAGATATAACACCAAAAGCACAAGAAACAAACAAACAAAAAATAGATAAAATTAACTTAATTAAAATTATTCTGCAAAACCTACCGAATGGGAGAAAATATTCAGAAACCACATATGTGACAAAGGTTTAATATGCAGAATATATTAAGAATTTTTACAATTTAACAAAAAAAAAACCCAATTTAAAAAACCTAAGCCATAAAGGTAGTAAAATACACTAAGAAAAAAATTTTAAATTTAAAATAAAGTAAAATAAAAGCCCAAATCAAAGGACTTGAATAGGCCGGGCATGGTGGCTCATGCCTGTAATCCCAGCACTTGGGGAGGCTGTGGGAGACCAGCCTGGGCAACATGGCAAAACCCAACCTCCACCAAAAAAAAAAAATAATAATAATAATTACCCAGGTGTGGTGGCATGCGCCTATACTACACAGGAGGCTAAGGTGAGAGGGTCGCTTGACCCAGGAGGTCAAGGCTGCACCCTACCCTGAGCAACAGGGCACGACCCTGTCTGATTTAAAAATAAAAAAAAAAGACTTGAATAAACATTTCCGTAAGGACATATACAAATGGCCAATAACCATGAGAATATTCTCAACATCATGAGTCATTAAATAAGCAAAATCGAAACCACACTGAGGTATCGCTTCACACATGTTACAGTGGACACAATCAAAAAGAATAGAAACTAAGTGTTGACAAAGATGTGGAGAAACTGGAACTCTTTATACATTGCTGGTGGGGATGTAAAATAGTGCAGCCACTATAGTAAACAGTTTAGGGGTTCCTCAAAAATCTATAGTGTTTCTTCTACACAATCCACCAATTCTACTCCTAGGTACATAACCAGAGAAACTGAGAGCAGGCACTCAGATACTGTTCACCAGCGTTGACTTCATTACATGCAAGTCAAAAGAAGAAAACAACCCAGGTATCCAATGACACAGGAAGAGGTAAATGAAATGTAGAATATATATACAATAGCCTATTATTGGGCTATAAAAAGGAATGAAATTCTGGCATATGCTACAAAACATACGAGCCCTGAAAACTTAAGTGAAATGAACCAGACAAACGAACAAATACTATGTAATCCTATTAATATGAAATATCCAGAATGGCAGTCATGAGAGACAAAGTAGGCAGGAGGTTTCCAGGGACTGCAGAAAGGAGGGCCTATAGAGTTATTGCTAAATAGCTATAGAATCTCTGTTTAGAGCGATGAAAAAATTTTGCAAACAGACAGTGGTGATGTCTGAATACTATAAATGTAGTTAAAGTCACCAAATTGTACAATTAAAAACGGTTAAAATGGCAAACTGCTATATATTATTTTTCCACAATTTAAAATTAATATAATGCACAAAACTCAATTAATTGTACACTTTAAATGGATTAGTTGTATGGTACATGAATTATATCTCAATGAAGTTGTTTTTGTTGTTGTTGCTTTTCCCAGACAGAGACTTGCTCTGT